CAGACACAGCCGTCCGCCCTCCCCCAGCCTCACAATGTCACCAGCATCAAGAATATCATAAACCCACCCCACCATGAGGACCAGCAGCAGCACCACAACCACCAGCAACAACAACTACAACAGCATCAGCATACTACTACAGGAACGGCCGATGCCTCAGTTCGAGCCTCGCAGCGCCAATTGAAGGGCAAATACTCCCTCAGCGACTTTTCCATCCACCGCACGCTGGGGACGGGCAGCTTCGGCCGAGTTCATCTCGTTCAATCTATACACAACCAGCGATTCTACGCAATCAAAGTCCTCAAGAAGGCCCAGGTTGTCAAGCTCAAGCAGGTCGAGCATACAAATGATGAGCGGGCCATGCTCGAGCGGGTCAAGCACCCGTTTCTCGTAACTCTATGGGGCACCTTCCAGGACGCAAAAAATCTCTACATGGTCATGGATTTCGCAGAGGGTGGTGAGCTCTTCAGCCTCCTCAGAAAGTCCCAGGTTCGTGCTATGTACCATCCCCACGTTTTGTTTTGTCTACTTGGCTTGCGGAGCGGCTGTTTTTGCCTGGATGCTGACCAAGGTTATGATGTAGCGGTTTCCCAATCCGGTGGCGAAATTCTACGCCGCCGAAGTTACACTTGCCCTGGAGTACCTGCACTCCAAGCACATAGTATACCGAGACCTGAAGCCCGAGAACCTGCTTTTGGACAAGAACGGGCATCTCAAGATCACTGACTTTGGCTTCGCAAAGGAAGTACGGGATATTACGTGGACGCTATGCGGCACGCCGGACTACCTCGCCCCTGAGGTAGTCTCTTCCAAGGGCTACAATAAATCTGTCGACTGGTAGGTCTATTTTCAGCTACGTGCATACGTATACGGGTTAGTGGTATGCTCACATTTACTCTTAGGTGGTCGCTAGGTATACTCATCTTCGAAATGCTTTGTGGTTTCACCCCATTCTGGGACAGTGGCTCGCCCATGAAGATATACGAGAACATCCTAAAATGCCGCGTTAAATACCCACCGTCCCTGGTTCCGGATGCGCAGGATTTACTATCGCGACTAATCACACCCGATCTGACCAAGAGACTGGGCAATTTACACGGCGGATCGCAGGATGTCAAGAACCATCCGTGGTTTGCGGAGGTCACCTGGGAACTGCTTGCTCAGCGACGGATAGACGCTCCGTACATACCTCCAGTCAAGGGTGGGTCGGGCGATGCATGCATGTTCGACACCTATGCGGAAGAGACGGAACAGTATGGTCTTCCTGCTGAAGATGAGTACGTACCCTACACCCTCACACCCAGATACACCCTTGCCAGCTTTTAGCCGGGTTGAAAACTAAAATATACTAACCTTACCACGCAGGTTCGGCCATCTATTCCAAAACTTCTAAAACAAAGATCCTGTTTTCTCCCCTACTGTTCCGTACTTCCTGCCTACCGGTTCCGAAGGGCGAAGGCAGTATATATATATATTCATCTATATCATATCCTTCTTGTGGAGTTCAAAGCTAGCGGGGACCATAACCTACATCTCCACTGCTTCAGCAACAGCTGGCCTGTGATTTTTCTCTTACATCTTTGGCTTACCTCTCGGTCAATCTCTTCGAGACGTTCATATCCCGCCATCTACCCATCTCAGCCTCCTTCACCTTCACCTTTTTATCTTACTCATACTGCAAGGAACGACAAAAAAACAAGGGATCTTCATTGAACTACCTGGGCGACATGGAATACGGACGAGCAGGAAAGGTATACATTTTATCCCCATATTATTTCTTTCTTCTTGTCATTGCTTTCCTTTCCCTGCTACTTTTCCTCGTCTTGGTCGTTGCTTTCTCCTTATGAACAGGCAATTTAATACTTAATTGTCTCTGTACACCTCTGATGCATGGATGAGTCTGTTTCTTTTCATTTTCTAATGCTTTTTTTCGGGAGGGCTCGTTATCTATTTCAATTGTCCTGCTTGCTTGCCGCTATATCTACGCTGGCTATTTCTTACATCTGCCTGCCTCTGGCTGGTGTCCATGCCATAGCATGGTATATATATTCCGTACCATATCCTACCATATATCGATACGTGGTTTGCATCTCCTTTGATCGTGCCTTGGTTTCCTTCTTTGTCTTTGCATTTTGACTTGGCCAGCTGGTGGCCGGTGAGGGTAGGGCGGTGGCGGTGATGTTGAATCCTATGTGTACGCATCTGCTCTGTATGGAGTATCCCAGATGTGATAATGCGCGAAGTATTAAATCTAAAAGTGTCGTTGGTCAAAGAATGCATATATAGCATAAATTCCGTATGTTTCCTTTTTTGGCTCCCAAATAATGTACATGTTCAGGTAAGTTTTGCACCTGTCTTCTCCATGACAGATAGCAAGGCCAGATAATAATAACATGGCCCAACACTGACATCAACCAAGTATGATCGTACAATCTCTCCTCTCCTGTTCTCTTTCCTTTCAGCAAATACCCAGAGCTGTTCCGGTTCCAAAGGGTATCATCCGCCCATCTACAGGTTTGTATTCACAGGAAACTTCGCGCCCTCTGTCTTCAGCCGAGCAACGTACGTTTGGCTCACAGTGTTCCATAGAGCGATGTACTTCTCCATACAGGTCTTGAGGCAGGTCTGTTCGTTCGAACTCAGGCTCGATCCGGGTGTAGGAATGCACTTCTCGAAGCAGTTCGAGTTGAGTTTCTAGCATCCCGTTAGCATTTGTTTCTTCCTAACAGAATGATGAGCAGCATGATACGGGTGTAGATACCTCCATGAGCATCTTCGCATTGTTCATGGCACTTTCGCTTTGAAGCTGCTGTACTATGGCACTCTTTATTTGTGACGAGGACATATCGGAGCCATTGGAGGAGGAGCTGAAGGGGTTCAAAAGAGACATCGCGGCGGCAGATTGGATACAATTATCGTGCTGTTTCAAGTGTTTCTTCTGCGATTATAATTATTATTATAACAACTCGTTTCTTATTCGTTTCTTCTTCGTCTTCCTCGTTGTCGTTTCTCTATCGCCTTCTTGGTTCTTCCAACTTTTTGCTTAGTAAGAAATCTAAAACCACGGTCATGTGACATAATTAGTAAATATGATGAGTCAGAATAATGACTAATCATATTCCTTTCGTTGCCGCAAAAACAAAAATACAAAAAAAAACAAAAAAAACAATGAATATAAATCTGATTTGACGATTTGAAGCTGAGATGTTGGACACTGGGAATTCGCAGCGAGATACGCGCTGTTTACTGGTCTTTGGCTGTGTTAATGTTTTTGCTTAACGGCCTTCTTGCCCGCATCGCCTGAAGAGCCCGGATAAAGTGTTGATCCGCCAGCTGCTCCCGTTGGCCTAGAAGTGGACACAGTTATCTATACACCGAAACCAACACGTCCAGCAACCCAAGCATCAATTGAACAGACGCCGGGTGTCATGTCCTTTGTGGTCTGCTACTGCGGCATCGTCTAGACCTAGACTACAGGGACTTATTTTTACTTCCATTGCCTGCTGCAGCCTCCCTCTAGCCCTGTAGGCGCGAAAGAATCCCCAAAAGCTCAGCTACTTGAGCAAGCAGATGTCCCGGTGACACACGACACTCCCTTTGGATCTTCTCTCTTCACTCTCTAATTCGTTTCCTATCCGGCCTATTATTTCTCTCTCTCCATTTTCTCATAGCCCTCACTTGACCCGCCGTAAGCATGGCGTGGAAATTGTTACCATTTATATTACTATCGGTGCTTGGTGTGGCCAATGCAAGCACCCAGGCAAACGAGAATGATTTCGAGAACCACCCTAGCACCAAGAGAGTGCCGGTATGTAGTTTTTCTGGCGCATTTGGTGGCATTGGAGGTTATGCGCTAATCGGTATTCCCTGTAGATGAGATCATTTAGTTTGGCCTCGGTACGTGCAATCGACCCGGATGGCGCATAATCAGATCCTAGCTCCCCTGAGATAGAACGGTGTTTTGCTGACTGGAGATCGCACTCATGTCTGTTGACGGAACAGCCCTATCTAGATTCCGATATGTCAAATCGGTGGTTTGATTTTGGAGGAGACACCGTTATCCGTGCGGATCGGTACGTTTGCCTCGCGCAAGGGACCCCAACTAAAGGACGAGGAGCAGAATACTGATATACGCAGATACATTCGATTAACCGCCGACCGACCATCCCAAAGTGGTTGGATTTTCTCTCGCGTACCTCTCACGGCAACCAACTGGCAGGTCGGTAGTTCCTAGCCTCTTGAATATCGGACCTGCATCCTAATACATATGGCTGTACAGATCGAGGTTGACTTTGCCATCAATGGCGAGGGAACTCTCCACGGTGACGGCATGGCCCTCTGGCTTACAGAAGGCCGCGCGAACCAGGGCCCAGTGTTTGGATCTGCGGACAGATTTAAGGGCCTAGGCATATTCATCGATACCTATAAGAATGGTCGGCAAGGAATGACTTTTCCGCTGGTCATGGCCATGCTCGGTGATGGCAATACTCCATACGACCAGGCCAGAGATGGCCAAGCCAATGAACTTGCATCGTGCTCGGTACGGTAATGACTTATTCCTATTGTTCAGAGCCATATTACTCTAACCAATTGTCTGTTCATTCCAGGCTCGTGGAATCCGCGGCTCCTCCTACCCAACGAAGCTCCGTCTTACTTACTTCCAGGATAAGTACCTCGCTCTGGACCTACAGTACAAGTCAGACATGGCCTGGACCTCATGCTTCAAGATTCAATCCCGGCCTGAATCCCCGCTTAATCTCCCTGCCGCCTCCTATCTTGGATTTAGTGCCGAAACCGGCGAACTAAGTGATACCCATGATATCCTCGAAGTCGATGTATACTCCCTTTACACTAAACAAGGAAGTGACAGCACCGGTCCCGGTCAGATGGCCCAGTCTGCTAACCAGAGAAACGCCCAGAGGGAGCATTCATACCATGCAGCAACTAGCGGCGGCAGCTGGCTATGGTTCTTCTTCAAGGTCATATTATTCTTCGTGGTTGTTATTGAAGGATACGTTGGATGGACTGCTTACCGCGCCGCTGTGAGCAGGCGGTTCTAATTTGGATATCGCCTTTATTATCATACAGTCGACATAATCACCTACTGCACCCAGTTACCTAAACCTCCTTCCATCTCCCTCCTCTTGGATACACACCTATACTCCGCCTATGTGTTCTTAGGCTTCATAAAATCTTTCTTGTTCAAGGCAAGCATTCATTGTTATCATTTAGGCTTCGTACAAGCGGTTTCTTTCCTTCTACTGTTCTTATCTTTTCCCAATTACTTTTTATGCATGCCTGATAAAGTTGGAATGGACGTACGATGATGCTGATATAGTGGTCAAAAGGTGAATTTACCTCTCCATTAGACTTGAATCATGTCTAAAGTGTCGTAGTAGAGTACCATGTCATCGTCTTGCTTGTTCTTCCACCCATATCCGATCTAAAATCTGGAATACTTCGGTGGCAGCTTTGATTATATTATCATCAACTCCCAGGACTCCGTATCTATGCCGTATTTTGTCAGGATGCCATCTCACACGCTCTAGTTTCAAGACAGCCAACATATTGGAGTGCTTTGAAGTTCTAGAGCTGAGGTTCTCGGGCCCAGAACTACCATTTGGAACCGGAGCGTTGTTCAGAAACTGTCTCACAGAATCTATATTCACGTCCTTCCGCTTGCCAGATTCAACAGGCCAAACAAGCACATTACGAAGAGCATCAGCAGGACTGGAAGAAGTTTGACCTTCTTGTGCACGCATATTCAAATTCTCCCAGCAGTCAAGATACCGTTTCCAGATATCAAGCCAGGTATTTGCCTGTTCTTTTCTCGACTTCCTCTCCTTCCCGCGTTTCAGGCTTTCTTCCACCATCCTATCAAACGCTTCACGCTCAGTTTCTGCTCTGCTGGTATGCCTTCCGTATGCTTTGGCCTGTTCCCTTTCAGTTTCACGAATCTTTCTCCGCCGTTCTCTTTCTTCTAGTAACCCCTGGTGAGTCTTCTCCCACATACGTGCCCTAACATAGGCAGCATATTCATCATCAGTCATCTTTTCCAGCTCTCCCCTCTCATCTGGTCTGGCATATGTGTGTATCGGCTGGCCGTACACTGCCTGCCAATAATCCGCCCCTTCGTCATCAGCGAGTGCGTCGAACAATGACTCACGAAAGGCTGTGTTAGGTGAAACGGGAGGTGAGCGATACTCCTCTGGTTCTGGTTCCGGTTCAGAATCTTTGCGATGACGGCGACGACGGTGTCGACGGTGATGGTGTCTGTGTCTCCTGCTCTCATCATGGTCGTCTTTATTGCGGGATCGTTTCTTATCGTGGGATCTCCGGCCGGATGAATGTTTAGATTTCAGCCGGACCTTACCAGGCCGTGACGCCCGGTACTCATCGCCCTTAGGAATAGTATCAGCTCCATCCGTAGGCTTGTCGTCGCCCTGGACCTCGCTTTGGGATGTGGTTGGATCCATCACTGGGACCATCAGAGGTTGTAAGCCTTATGAAGGTGGCTTCGGCAAAGAACGGCCGTCAGCGTCGTCTATCATTGCGGCAGAAGGACCGGGAACTAAGACAGGTGCCACAAGCTTGGTATCCCCAGTCATGATAGCATCTTTGTATCTTGTGTTCTTCTTTTGTCGTCGATTTTTTCGACCAAACATTAAAGACCCAGAAAGTGACACGTGATGCGGCTCAACTGAAGCTTTATCAACTTGCAGCTTTCGACTTTCAGACAACATCGACGACATCGACACATCAGCTGCGGCATAGCATTTACGATGGCTTTGGTTACATATTCAGACTCCGAAGGAGACTCTGATACTGAAACGAAGCCCGTTGAGCAACCTAAAGCGCCCCGCCAGGCTCCAAGCTCTAGCTCCAAACCCGCGTTCAAGCCGCTGGTTGACCGTGGCAACCCCAGAAAAATCCTTGTGAACCTCTCGGAAGCCAAACCCAGCGATGGAACGGATTCAGGGCAGGATAAAGAAGATGGCCCTGCGAGAAAACGACTTCGTACTGGAGGCGGTGGAATATTCTCCGGATTTAACGACATGCTCCCTGCACCAAAAAGATCCGCGCAGAAACCAGTCGATAAGTCACAGGCCGGGGTCAAGAAATCAAAACCTTTTACTTTGAAGACAAGTGCAGAGCCTGGTTTTGACCGCAGCGAGAGATCGGATAGCTTCAATATATCTTATGATGAGTTCGGCAAACCGTCCAGCGGCCAGGATACTGCACAAACCCCATCAGAAGAGGCTTCTCGAACGCCCGTGCCAGAACCTGTTTTTGAAAAAAAGGGGAATGCGATGATGTTCAAACCGCTATCTGTGGCTAGGAATAAACCAAAGAGGAAGACGACGGCAGCCGCGCAGCCTGTTTCGACTCCGAAAGTACGGGCTGAAAACCCTCAGTCTCCCGTACAGCCAGAAGCAAGGCCAGAAACGAAACCAAAAGTGAGCCTCTTTGGGCTTTCTAGCGGGGCGGAAAACATCCCATCAACCGAAATCATCGCTCAAAATGAACCATATGAATCTATACTTTATACAGCGTCGTCAGGGCCATCAGGGGCACCCGATACTGAAGTGCCAGATGACTCGATAGTGGCAACCACCGCAGCTTACAACAACTCACCTGCACCTGCGGCCTCCAGTGGGCCACAAGATCTAGCCAGTGTTGCCAGTGATCTCAATCTTTCGAAATCGCAGATGCGACAGCTGCTAGGACGCGATCTAAAAGGTGCTTCTAGTAAAGTCATTAACTTCAACACGGACGAAGAGTACAAGTCCAACTCTGCCTACCTGGCCAACACATCCGAAGCCGAGCTTGCTGCTCAACAACATAGACCTGTTAGGACTGTTGCACCTGGAAAGCACAGCCTGCACCAGCTCGTCAATGCAGTGGCCAGCCAGGGCGACGCACTGGAGGAGAGCTTTGCTACCGGGAAGCGGAACAAGAAAGAGGCGAGCGCAAAGTATGGGTGGTAGAGATAACTAGATGCGAAATCTGACTAAGCCTTCATCTCGGAATATTATCTAGTCGCCACATCTATCAAACGTTGGTATTAGCTGTTTTGGCGGCTGCCCTGGTTCGCTGTTCGACAAACAGACCATGATGCGTCGCTGATCCTCCCCCGTGCTTGCAGAGCAGATATAAAATGCCACGAGATCGAGCTGCGTATCGAAATGTCCGCCTTTATGACACCTCCACTGGCGCCCTCATCGGAGGTTTTCATCAGAACGGCGCAATTACTGAGGAAAACCTCATCTGGATTCTGAGCAATGTGCTTTTAGTCACGCATGATACAAATACGTGGACCATTCAGCAAAGAACCTCTGGAGAAATCGTTACACCTTCCCGCGAGCCGGTGAGGCTTGGAGACTATGACATTCATTCAACAGGTACAGGCTTCTGGCTTCTGGCTTCTAAAACCCGCCGTGGGTATTAATACCGAGCTGACTATATATATAGGACCGATCCAGGTAACCAATGAGCCGTGCCAGGATCGCCAGCCACTCCGTCTCCGGCGGGGAGGACCAGTTCCGCGATGGAGTCCGTGCTCGAGACGGCCGGTGTGTGATATCTGGGCAGATCAACCTCGGGGCGCCGTGGGACGACTGGGCAGGACTAGAGTCTGCCCATGTGTTCCCCCTGGAGAAGGAGAGCCTCTGGGTGCAGCTGGGCTACGGGCGCTTGATCACCACCATGGACGATACTTCGGTAGAGCATAGAATTAACTCTATTCAGAATGGACTTCTCATGTCAGCGCATTTTCACACACGCTTTGATCAGTATTTGTTCTCGATAAACCCAGATGTAAGTGTTTTTGATGCCCAAACGCTTTTTTGCTGTACTAATATATCAAAGGACGGCTGTAAAATTGTCGAGTTCGGACTGAACAGCTGGGGGATTGATGGCCGGACGTTGGACCCTGTATGTCGTAATCCGGCCACTAGAGATCATGTATTAGATGAGCTGCTCCGGTGGCACTTCCGACAGGCCGTCCTTGCCAATATGCGCGGGGCGGGAGAGCCTCTTGTCAAATCCGACTTCCCCCCTGGATCTGATATGATGGCAACATTGCGCGAAGAGCTGTATGGCAAAGAGAGATTTGAGATGGAGCTTGAGTCAAGACTACGACCTGGAACCACGAACAGCTAGCGGAACTGTTGAATTCCCCCTTCCCTGTGTACCTTCAATCTTTCTTTCTTCCTTTCTTTTTCTTTTTCTTTTTCCTTTCTTTTCTTATTAATGATGTGCAAGGATGAAGCAGACTTATTATTATCCCTGCTTTGGACTTGAGAAAATACTTACTGCCCCTCGATGACCCTTCAGTACATCATGACAAGTGACACACAATACCTGTGAACCAACTGAACAGCCGTCAAAATGACTGTCAGCACCCAAGTGATACTAGACTACACACTGAACGACCTCTACTCCCTTGACAGTGATGGATCCCCTATTCCAGCCCTCGTTCTTGACTCCCGGCCGGTGGAGGACTACGCCATGGTGCCGTCTGCCAAATACGTCTATCACCTGGCAGCACAAGAAGGCTCAGACAAGATGTTGATCCTGTTAACAAGGAGCCAGACTGAACGGCGTGTGTTTCTGGCTGGGAAAATGCTAGTCTTTGTTGTGGACTATGCATACTTGCAGCAACAGCCAGACAGCCAAACTATGCCAGCGGATAAAGCTGAGGTGTACAGACATTTTTCAAAGATGAGGCCTGACCAGCAGCCTGCTCTCAAGTTCGTGCAGAGAGCCGACCAGATTACTCTACCGCCAAATGTACCTGTGGCAGTGGTAGTTCCAATTGACCTGTTTGCCGCTCTGCCTCATGCCCTTGACCCAGATGTGCATTTCTGCATCCTAGCAAAGCGAGGTCTGGCAGTTTCGGGGCTGCCTACACCACCGTCCACCGTGGTAGATGTGGCTCTCCCACTCGACCAGCTGCAGGATGATACCAAGATGGGACAGGAGATTTCGCGCATGCTGGAACTTATTGACACTTACAATACCCCGTTTGTAGTGAAGTTACCCCAGTCAGTGGCGGCGATGGGTACTTTTGCGATCCGTTCGGACGATGATAGACAGCGGGTCAAGGCCATACTCAGCACCCATATGCGTCTTATGCTAAAGCAGATCAACGCTGCCAACTACCATCTCAACCCTTGCTCTCTGATCTTCCAGAATTTCGTTGCAGGGACAGAGGTAGCCTTGTCGTTTTTCGTCACCCAGACCGGACGTTGTATCTTTGTTGGATGTTTTGATCAGGAGTTTGATAAACAGGGGCGATGGACAGGGGGCTCGATTTCATATCCCGACCAGCCAGCTTTGGAGGAGAAATATGCAGCCACTATAGAGAAGACTGCCAAATTTCTGCATGAAAAAGGGTACTATGGCCCCGCAGGAGTCGATGTCCTGACAGATACCCAAGGGAATCAATACATCGTGGATCTCAATGTTCGCCTAACGGGACTCTGCCATTTGGGCTTCCTTAAGGGCCATTTCACCAGTAGAGGACTTGATGTGGCCTCAACAGTAACTGGATTTTTTACCTGCTCTCGAGAGAAAATCGAAGAGATTTTTTGCAATGAATTTCAAATGGGGAGCCTTCTCGTCATTTCCTGGTCGTATGATGATTCAATGAAACTGAGCTGTGGCGCAATTGGCGTTGGAGGGAAGACGGCTTCGGATATAGAGCGGCTGGCAGCTAGAATGCTCGAGTATACCACTCCGGGAGGCCATTGTTAGGATATTAAGTTGACTAGACTCATGGATTAACAGTACCTATGGTCAATAGAATAGTAGCTAGATTCCTGAATACTAGTTGAATATTTTTCTATAGCTAACAATACGCTATGATACAAACAAGGGGAATATGTCTAGACTTTTATGAAGATATTTCCACCACCTCTGCAAACCATTGCTTCAACGCCAAAGACAAAACAGCCGGTAACTCCTGAACATTCCTCACAACCAAGTAATAAGGGAAAGGAAACCCATCTAGATACTTTTTCATCTTCCACTTTCCTTCGCCAGGCCCTGATCCGCTGGGCTCGAAGGTTGCCTGGGAGAGGTTCATAATCGAACGGCTCTCCTCCTGAACTGCATCAACAATGATAAAAACAACCATTATACGCTCTTCATGCGCCTGGCGGACGAGGCGAGCAATTCTGTCATGATCCTCACAAACACCATCGGATATAATCAGCTCCAATTGCCACAGATCACCCGAAGTCGATGAAGATGGCCGTTTGGCTCTAGCCTCGCGGAAAAGAGCAATAGAATCGGCAATAAGCTGTCGTACATTTGTGCCGGTTTGTTTGTAGCTGAAGTGCTGGAATACCTGCGACCCAGCTTCTGAGGAGAACGGCTTTCCAAAGTCATGAGCAACACGGATGTGTTCCTCGTTTCCAAAGCTGACAATGCAAAGGTCACCGGTCTCAAGCATGCTCAAACTCCTTGCAACCAAAGCGAGAGTTTGGAATGCAAGCTGCCCACTTGAACCTTCAAGCATAGACTTGCTGTCGTCTACCGCTAGCATGATCTGGTAATTCCGCTTTGAAGGCACGGATCGACGCATCCATATTTTGTCACGCTTATACTGTGAGGCGATATAAGGGATGATGCGTTTTATATTCAGCCGTTTGCCTGTTCTGAAGTCTCCCCTGAGTTTGGTTGCCATTGTTGGCGCAAGGATAAGGCGTAGTTGTTCCGTTAAGGACAGCGAAAGTTCATGCGTGATAGACTCGTAATGAGTCCATAGCCGACGGGCTTCATCTGGAGGTGTCAGGGGTACCAGGTCGGAGGATATATTGATGACGGAAAGCTGGTTATCAACATCTTCAAGTTCGTCTTTATCCTCTGCTGCTGCACCTTCTTCCCCCTGAGAAGATTCCATACCATTACCAGAGCGTGTTATCGAGGTAGTAGGTTGTCGTTGATCATTCGACGCAAGCGGTGCATCAACATCCATTAGGTCCTCGAGGTTGTTGGTGTTGCTGCTGTCTTCCGCCTCTTGTGCATCCGGGAGGTATTCGTTATCCTGTGGCTTGAAGTCAGATTCTATTGCCTGGGATTGGTTCATTGCTTGAGACTGCTCCTCGTTTGCCTGGCCGAGGGCCTGGGTATCTGCAGTATCCTGCTCATCAGCGAGATGTTCGAAGTCAACATCCTTCTCAGCAATATCCTGCTCCTGAACTTGTTCGTTATCTTTCTCAGAAGCCTCCAATATTTCACGATGAGACCTATGCCACTGTTCAAGGATATCACCGAGCTTCTTGAATGACTGGAGTTGTGGATCTTGTTTCTCATTATTGCCCCCGTCACCAGCTTCCTGGTTCGATTGCTTCCCCTGTTGGCCATGTTCTTCAACCCCTTTACCCTCTCCTTCACCATCCTCCTCCATCTTCTCCGTCGGCTGATCAAAGGCAGCATCTCCAGACGTACCCTTTTCATTGCTCTGATCTTGTTGGACACCTGCTGAAACCTGCTCGCTAGGCGCTGTATTGTCAGGATCGGCCTTTTGTTGCTCATCTTCCACAGGTATTATCTTTTTATCTTCTTCGCCGGCATCTGGCTGAGGTTCGGAGTCTGGTTCGCCAGTTTCTTCCTCCCGCTGGCCGTCTTCATCGGCGTTATCATCTGGGTTCTCTGCCATATCGACGTCAGGGCTTTCCGGCCTGGTCTCTTTGTTTTCTTCATTTGTATCCTCTGGAAGATCATCTTGGTTGGCAGTCTCTTCCATGGACATCTCGCTCATACCATCGTCTACGTCAGAGCCTTCATCCTCCTTTTTCTCACCATCCAGGTCCATGTCTTCTGGTAAATCAAGGACATCATTCTCCTGGGCATACGGATCAGTCACATCCATGTCTTCGCGGCCAGCACCCTCTTTCTCATCTTCAGGGGCTTCCTCATCACTTTCAGCAGTTTCATGCTCCTCGTCAGCCTCCTTTTTCGCAGATTCATCTTCCTTGCGCTGTTCTGTGGCGGCGGACATGTCATCTGCTTTCTCGGCTCTTTTGCTCTCATTGTTCTCAGTGTCCTTCTGCTCCTTATCATTCGTACCGTCCCACATCTTCTCATCTACGGCTGAGGGGTCCCAGTCGTCAACACTTCCAACTTCTTCGTCAAGATCATCTTCTTCTCCTTCATCTGCATCTGACTTGTCCTTTTCCTCTTCCTCATTATCCTTGGAATAATCGCCCTCTTGACCCTCCAAATCCTCGTTGTCCATGTTTACTGCATCATCCGTTCCTTCAATATCTTCTTTTTCTGCCTCTTCTTGCTTTTGCTGAGCGAGTTCCGAAAGGTCTTCATCGTCTTGAACATCTTTGCTTATGTCCTCCGCCCCTTCGCCCTCACCAAGGCCAGTACCACTCTCCACTTTATTACTTTGCTGGCCTTGCTGGTCGGAGGGTTCGGAAGGACTGCAAAATCCTTCTGATGCGACCTGCTTGAACGATTTACCTAGAGTATATCCCAATTTGCACACTGAATGGTGGAAGGCGGTATATCGATTGACAAGGTCCAGGCAGATTGTTTGATATTGCGCTAGTATTGGCAGGCTGATACTGAGCCCAGCAATGGCAATATTAAGCTCACGAGTATCAGAAATATTTCTAACCACATCAAATACCGATTTTAGTTTGGATGAAATATCATCAATGTGGAGTTCGGAGAGGGACCTAGAGAACGAGGTATCGGTTTTTGATAGCCATGTAGGGGCTTCCGCCGAGATGGGAACACTGGAAAGGGCGCTCTGAACTCTTTGTAATGCAACAAGTATGGCGTCCATTGCAACAAGCAGAGACGAGTCCACATCCTTTATGGAGGAAACAGACAGTTTATCGGCCTGTGACTCTAGAGCACCATGGGAGTCACAATCCGTCCAAAACAGAAGCTGATTGAGAGCAAAGGCAATCTCGGGTTGAGTCTTCATATGGGTCAGAATTCCAGATTTCATACTGGCCATAAAACGTTCAGCGTCAAAAACGATATCCTTATGAGAGCTGGAAGATAATCCATCAGGAAGAGCTGGAAGGTTGATGAGGCGGTTCTGTAAGGATGTTGCAGATTCCGCCCATAAACCCAAGGATGCCAGGACTGCTGTGGAATCGACAGAGGAGTGACTCCGATGGATGTTGATAATTGTTGAAGACAGTTCAATGATAGTCGGCAGCCATTTAAGTGCTTGATATATTGTGTGCAGAGGGTTAGACGACCTTTCACTGGAAAATGTACTCACTGTTGAACTGCTCGTAATGGCTGTAGCCAGTTTGACATGGTTAACTAGAGACTCAACCGAGGCCAACACAGGAGACAGTGTTTCCCTTTGCTTCATCATCTGGTAAAGAAATCCTTCTGTAAATCCAATACTTCGACCGGCTTCAACATTGCTCAAGTCTTCAGAGTAGTTTCGTGCTGCTTGACGTATGCTTGGGACTATGTGAAGGAAGCGGTGGAAGTACTTGTCTGCGGTAACGGACAAGGGGGCTAGGTCAGGGGCGCTGAAGCTCGGTGTAGTAGCGAGAACCAGACTAACTGAGCTCTGCTTATCGAGCAAGTCTGTTCCAAGATTCGATCTAAGGCCCATATGACGCAGCTCCTTCAGCTTTGCAGCATAGAAGCTTCGTTTTTGAGTCTTAAGATGTTGGACCTCATCCTTGTTCTCTTCCGTCAGGGTTTTGGGAGTTCTCTTTTTGAAGTCGGAAATAGATGAAACCACGTCGGTCATGATGGCTTCAAGTTCAGTGGTAACCTGGAACTCTGGTAAGGAACCTTCATAAACCTGGTGCATGTGTTTAGCCGTAGAATCAGGAGCTTGAAATCGGGCAGGTCGTTGGCTCCATAGCCCTTCATTTTTCTGGTAAACGCTTAATGCAGCAGGATTCACAGCCTTGGGGGGAAGCGACTGAAAGACCGCTGTATGCTCATTATCCGAGGTGGACTCAGGGGTTTCTCTTGAAAGAAGCTCTTCACAAGATTGTGCTAGGAGAGTACGATACTTCCTGATGATTTTGAACAATTTGTGGTGAGAACGACGAGCGCTTTCACGAAGTGCTGTGATCTTCGTATCTTTCCAGCTTGCTAGTTGAACTTGTTCCTTTAATTCCTTTTCCAGTTTTTGCCGTCCATCTTTAAGGGAGCTTTGGACCGAAGAGATAAAAGGCCTATAGTGGTCAAGAAGATTCTTAAGAGCCGAAACCACCTTACCCAAGGCTGGAAGATCGGGAAGATAAAGCATAAGGAGCTGCCTGAACTTGTCTATAAGATCAACACGGGACGAGAACTGTCCCATTGATGTAGCATGTAGGAACTTCTCCAGCGTCGACAGGAGGCCTGATACATGATTGTCCATGGGCTGGTTTTCTTGTACCAGCTGTAGCGGGACTGCCACAATGACCTCGTAGGCCATGTACCACCAAGATGCCGCTTGCTCCAGACATTTCTCGTCTTCCACATCGAGCAAACGGGACCAGGTAGAGAGCTCAAGGCGTCTCCAGTGTATCAGCGTCGAGGTGAGGTCATTGTAGCAGTCAGCTGCAGAAAATTCTTTGCTCGCAACTGTTTGCCATTCATGTACGTGTCCATGAAGTTTCTCGGCCATTGTTATAAACTTAGCAAGGGGCTCCCTATGCTGGAACTTGAAGATTTTAGAGCACCATTCAACAACATCAGCAAGGGTTGCATGTTCAGGCCAGGATTCTTGTAGCTGCAAAAAGCGAACTTGCACCTTCTGGACAAGAGAAGCAAACTTATTCACTTCCTCTATATTGGCATCAGTATAAAAGTTGTAGTTTGCAACTTTGCTTGGTCGATCAACGTCTCCCATGAGCAAGAAAATGGGGCCGAGGTGGAATTTTAGATCAACCGGTGGTATCGTTACCCCTGATTTACGCGATATTGACCCTAAAAAGCGAAGGCTCTCGCTGATCACATATCTTAGACGGGAAGCCCTATTATCAGACACAAAGAGGTCCCTGAAGGCCGTGAATAGTTTCATACGAAGCTTGTCAGGATGAGGCTCGGTATTTGCAGTTTCTTTGCTGGGCTCGTCTTGATTATCGTAAGTGGGGAACATCTGGAGAATTTCTGCGGATTCTGACTCCTTGTCGTCCTCAAAGGATCCTCTGTAATGATAGAACTTGGATTTCTCCACTTCAAGAGACTGGTCCTTTTCCAGCTTCTCTTTCCATGAGGAATATGCTCGATCGAGGATACCATGTAAAATCTCTTTTTGGGTGGGCTTAGATAGAGTCTGGTTGTCAATGTTTTGAGCGGCGCCTAGTAATAGCAACCTCTGAATATCTATCTCTGCCGTTGCGGCTTGGGAACTTTTAGTGGGAGAGGGCGAAGCAAGGGATAGATCTGGTAATTTTCCTCCTAAGAAAGGGGTTGTTCCGCATATATATTGGATAATGGGACAAGACCGGGTGGAAGACGAAGTACTGTGACGGATCAACTCAATCCCCTGATCCAGGAGCTGGAGAAATCTAACTGGTAGGATCGTCATGTCCTCATATCCAGGGCAGTTCTCGGAAAGACGATGGGCGATTTGACGGATATTGAGCTGGAGTAATGTTCCCGATGCCTGAGAAGAGAAGTCCTTGGAAATTGATTCGGTAATAGGCGCTTGGGAGACCGAGAGGATGTATTCAACTGGCTGATTCAAGACGGAGGTCAGAATGCTGCTAAACTGGGCTTGCACTTCATTCAGTTTTGATACCTCAGGGCGGACCACTGGAGTATTCGGGGGTGCAGACCCAAGACGAGCAAGATCCTTTCTTGCAGCTTGAATTCGTAAGCTTGATGTCTGTCCAGAAAACAAATGCTCACATGTCCGGAGGCAATCCAACCTCGTAGCCATTTCGTGCTGTCTATGCAAATGGAGCTTATGCTCAACAGCAAGATGCAATGATGGATCGAATGGTCTATTTGGAACGTAGCAATGAAGGAGTACAAGAGATAGCCTGACTAAAAGCTCCCCAAGTTGGCCGATAGCCTTCTCATTGGCTTGCGGTTTACAGAGCTCTCGGAACAAGGTAAGAATTTCATCCCCTAGAAGTTTGAAGACTAGATTATCTGATACCTCCGGTTGAACTTGGACTGTGCAAATAGCAGATTGTGAATCCTCAGACTCTCCTGTCTGAAGCTGCCGTAAAATGTCCATAGATATATTCAGGGAGTCTGATCCAAGCAAGTCTGCATGACACCGTATGAACTCTTTCAAAAGTTCCAAAATCCGATGGCGAAGAATAGTAGGCTGATAAGTAGAAAGCTGGCAGGTGTTTGCAGCTAGTCCCTGTAACAAGAGACTAATTTCGGACCTTAAAAGATCCATCTGTCCAAGAGGCACCTGGTTGATATCTTCAACTTTCTTGACCAGAGAACATGAAATACCCCCAAGCAATGCCAACGGGCCACAGTGAGAATTTTCGCTTCCTAGGTACTGGGTAAGTTTAGAGAGTAACCCGGGGGCCGCACTGGCAATTACTGATGTGTCGCTGGGACGAGATTCTCTTCCTGCCAGGAGCTTGATAGATCCAGGAAGTGGAGCACGAGGCAAGTCCTTGTCTTCTGCTAGATCATTATATTGGCACAATGCTTCAAATTCTGTAGCAAAGTGAGGAGAGTCATAAGAATCCGATTTCGAAGATTGGGCCTCGAAGCGAGATATTGTTGTGTTCAATTCCTAGAAAACCACCAGTAAGATATGAGAAGATGCATGGAGAATAATACTGGTAACTTACGGGCAGTAGGGCTGTGCTATTCGCACCCCGTAAAATTGAAGTTTGGGCATGAATAAATAGGTCATAGAGCCGCCCTAATTCATGAACAGGCACTCGTGACTTCAATGCTACCCGATCATATCTGGTCCGAAGTTCTCGGAACTGCATCCCCTGTTCCAATTGACTGGAGTCAGTGGGTGTTGCAGGGCGCCATGAATTCCATATACGTTGCATGCTCTTTCCGCTGCTCAACTCCCAGTTAGCATTGAAGGAGGCCAGAAGTTCTTTGAACTGATCCACCAGTTTGAGCTGAAGATGCTCAAATCCACCACAGATATTCTTTCCAATAACAAGGTACGTCAAAAAAGTAGCATCGTCCAAGAGATCGCATTGGGTTAATTCAAAGCTATCCCAACAAAAATTTAAAATATCTTGGACTAGTTGAGGGGCCTTGTCGGGGCAGGATTCCAAGGTCAGTGACTCTAAACACTCACTGACTGCATTGCAACAGCCATAAAGGAAACGGCCAATGGGCTGTGTCGAGTCTTTCAGGTGAGACTGTATAGTCCCCGAAGTGATAGATCGTTCTATGAGAGTCATTTCCGCTGACTTCTTGCCCCTTGCAGCAGATTCCACGTGCAAAAGCTGCTGATAAAACTGGACAGTTTGTAGCTGAAGTTCTTGCAGCTTTGCCGCCTGTAAAAGTTTCTCTCGATAGTTCCCTATTGGGAGCGAAAACACAAGTCGTGGTTCATTTATAAGGGGATGGATGGGCTAAGAAAACGTTAACAGGATATCTATAAATAGGACAAGGAATACGGACCTCATTCTTTTCTAGGTTGTTAACATGTTGGTAGGCAAGAGTTCCATCAGATCCAGGGCCTACCAATCGACCAACCAGCGCATTGCGACACAGGAGAGTGCTATAGCTCTCAACCAAACATTCTGCCTTTTTAGGAGTCACAGGGGAGGCCTTAGACCACAGCTGGGCGACTCGTTTGATAGAGTGTTGAAGACAAGCCACGTCCTGTGGCGATAGATGATCAAGGCCAATCCCAAGAGATTTGGAATCGCTCTCAAGGGGCTTAGGGAAACAAACCAAATTGTGACACTCCCGAATACGGTATATGGCAGATTCATTTAAGTGCCTTGTGCCAGTCAAACAAGACTGGTTTATTTCGTCCTCTTTGAGAAAGAAAATTTCGATAGATCTGTTTCGCATAGCTCGAGACAGTTCGCCATGTCGAGGGTCAACTGTTAAGAACAATCGGAAATCAGGGTGAGGTGTGATCACCTGGGCAAGGCCATCAGGAGACTTGCGCTCATTCACGATAAGGCACCCATTTGGCTCCAAAAGAGAATTTAAGCGGTCTAAGACAGTGGCATTGCAAAGATTCGCGTTATCAAGTACCACCCAGCTGCCTTGTTTCATAGCATGGATCAGAATACCCTCAGTCCACTCGAATCCTGTTTCTCCTGCTGCTTCATCGACGCAAATTTGCTTGCATTGCTCAAGAATATCCTGAAATATTGTATCCGAGTGGTGTTGAGCCAGTTTGGAGAGGGGACCTAAGAGCTCTTGTGGACTGAAAGAGCTGTGCATCGTCATTTGGTATAGCTGCATCAACTCTGGACCCAAGGCTGCACTGCTATCCTCTGCCTGGGAGAGTGCGATGACAATATGATATCTTAAAAGGCGAATTAATTCACTTGCGAATGAAAGATACTGCCGGTGGCTGTCTCTTTGCTCAAAACCACCAATGAGATCCATGGCATCTGTATCAGAATTCAGAGCAAGCTCAACAAGTTTAGCGCCGCTTAGAGCAGCAAGTCGTCTTATGCTAGAAGTCTTTCCACACCCAGATGGCCCGACTAAAAGACACGGCCATGCATTTTCTATGCAGAGCATCATAGACTCAACTAGATGCAAGCTGCGAGGGAAGTCTTTCGAATCATTGACTGAAAATTCATACAACTGTTGATTGCGGTCCAGCTTTCCCAGGCCAACCTGGTATGAGTAAGGGCTGAGATTGTGGAAGTAGTTTTTCGTGTCTGGGACCGCTCCGAATATATCATGATATAGTTGAGAAACTAATAGTCTATCGGGAGCAGTCCTGAATCTGTGTGAAATGACCACATCGATGTATTGCGAAGGTGATATCTCAACAGGGCTAGAAGTAAGCAGTTTGAGCCAGCGAGAGATATCTCGAAGGTTAACCTCCCAAGGGGCCCCAACAGCTCCAAACCGACGATCAGTGAGTAGCTTTGTATTCAGCATAGTAACAAAATCAACTAGTTTGATGATTTTGTCTTCCGGGCACGCTGGGCTTAACCTCCGACAAATAATTTGCAGGTCATGAGAGGTAAATGAGTCCGCATAAACAACAGTAAATCGATCGACGAAAGACGCTGGAAGGCCCTTTCTCCCACCTCCTTGATGATGGGGATTCTGTGCAGCAAAGAGGACAAAATCAGGGTGCCGTTGGAACGTTTGGCCAAGTTCAGCGATATAAACTTGCTGCCGGTGGTCTAAACAAGAATTCAGTCCTTCGAGCACAGATTGTGAGGCTAGGTTCATTTCATCTAACAAAACCCATCCGCCGTGTTGCATTGCACGCAAAAATGGTGCATCGCTCCATGCAAAGCTACCTATATCACCTCCATCAACGGGTACGTCTGATCCAAACAGATCCGTTAAATCAGTTTGCTCCGACAAGTTTATTCGAGTAAGTGGAACACCAATAATCTGTGCTAGCGCTGCAACAAGTGTGGTTTTCCCAACCCCAGGGCTTCCTTCCAACAGAATAGGTTTGCTCGATTGGAGGCCACGGGCGACACGGATTGTGTTGCGTAAAGTTGTAGGTGCATCAAATGCAAACTTGGAATCTGGGTTCGAGTTAGTTCCAAGAGGCAATGAGAATTGACCAATTTTCAAAGTATGCCCGTCCAGTTGCATACTGGAGTTCTGACTATATATTGATAGAGCATCAACAGAGAATAGCTCCCCAAGTTTTTCCAAGGATGATTGTCTGTCCCTCTCAAGGTCACCAGAGGTAGATGCTAGCAATGCAGATGGATTTGCGCCAAGGCCATCAATATAGACCAGACAGGCCCCGTGTATAACAGCAGATTGGTCATCCAGTTGAGTACAAGAGTTGATAAATTGTGCCCAGGCCAGTAAGTCACGGACCGATATCGAGGATTGTGTCGAACCCCGGAACTTATCCTTGAACCATTTTGCAAAAGATACCATCCCTTGAGGTACATTACGCAGAGATGGTTTGACGTTCGCTTCCAAGATTGGCAATATGTCATCATCCTCTAGAAGTTCTGGAACCCAAATCTCTGTCAATCGATTCCTCAATGCAGCAGAAAGCTCTCGTTTTCCATAATCACCTCCAGGGTTCATAGTTCCAAGGAATTGAAAGCCATCAGTAGCAGTAACAAGAGAGTCAACGGGGCCTTTCTCGGCCAACAGCACAGTCCTTGTAGTTTCTAGTACGCTGTTAAGCCGCTCAAGGACAGAATCGTCTGCGAGAGACAACTCATCCAGGAGAAAATGCTGTCCTGTTTTCATGGCTGTGACTAAACTCCCATCAGACCATTCAAAAAGGGAGCTTGCTCTTGTTATGTTGGTCTTAATTCTGTGAATAAGGTCTGGGTCACAGCGGCCGGAAGACGACTGTTCAACGGCATAGAATGCACTCTTGAGGTCGTCAAGGGATGAAAAAGGCCCGGTATGTATCTGGTGGGCTTGTTCTAAGGCCAAAGTTATATCTCTCTCAAGCTGATGAATGATTGAAGAGCGATTCCTTATAGGTCGCTGGGAACCAATAAGGTCTCCTGTTTCCAGATTGACGTGGGCATTGACAATGAATAGCTCTTTGCCATAGACTTCTGCAATAGCCTGGCATATCTGAGTTTTACCACACCCAGTTTCTCCGACTAGAAGAACAGGCTCGTTATGCTCAACAGCTTCGGACACAAGGATGAAGAGCCTCCTCATAGCAGGTGTCCAAACGATATTGGATGGAACTGCCGCGGATAAATGCTTCAGTCGTGTTTCAACGGCGGATTTACTGTATATTTCATTTTCATCCAGTTTCACACCCATGACTTTCTCTATCACCTTTTTCACAGCGCTCCTCTCCTGGCGATTCCTTACTCTTTCAGCAAGGAGCATAAAGCCATGCACAGCCAGTTGTTCTCGGTCATCTGCGCGTCTCATCGCCCATCTGAAGAGATCACGAAGTGTCGCAAAACTGTTTCTCTGTTCAAAAAGTCGGTTTGATTGACGTAGGATAGACAGCTGTCGATATACAGAGACTATCCGGGTGCAGAATGACGGTGGGATATGAGAACGTTCCTTCAATATAAACTCGAGTTCATCTTCGGGTATATCATCAAAATGCAATTCAAGAAATCGATTCCTGAATGCACGAGACAACACCTTCCTTCCTCCATAAAGACCCGCGGGGTTTTGAGTAGCAAATAACATGAAGTTCGGGTGTGGGCGGACTACATCTTGTGTTTCGGGGATGAAAAGCTCCCTGTTGTCATCAAGTAGACGATTTAGAGCCTCGAGAACATCAGTTGGTGCAAGATTAAGCTCATCAAGCACAATCCAGTATCCTTTTTTCAAAGCCTCGACAAGGACGCCGTCCTGGTACTTTAAAGTGCCATCTTCAGAAGTAGCATAAGAACCTAGATATTCCTGAAGATCCGTGTGTTCATGATTATTGATCCTCACAAATCGGTTTCCAGAGAGTTTGGCCAGATGCTCAACCATGCTGGTTTTTCCAGAAGAAGTTGGTCCCTGTAATAAAATGGGAAATCGCCGAGTTGAACTGGCTCTGACGAGATTCATAAGATTCCTTTCGATAAAGGGGGTAATAATGTAGTGGGATTGGGACTCTGGTGGGAAATCACCCTTTTGCATCCAATAGTGTTTATACTGAACATATTCTGCTCCATCTTTGAACTCTCTGGGAGTCTGAGAAAGTATGGATCTTGCATTTCCAACCTTCCCAAATATATGTTTCTCCAGTAAAGGTATAACTTGACGTTCAGAATCCTTGCTCAAAAGTGTTAAAAAGCTCATGGAGAAACCCTCATATATAGCACGACGAACTCCGTATATATGCGCCTGATCGGTCACATACATCAAGGTACGGACAAGAGTTCGGATGCTAAAATGGGGTTTATGTCCGGCTCCGTCAGTCAATTGATTCTCCATAGCTAACCGTTTCGTTTCGAGATAGATATTTGCAAGATCCGAGGCAACACGAGAATCATGATTCAGTAGGGGGCCAAGGTAGGTACGTATCAGACTCAACAGGTCATCTATGTCGCTGTCTGGGGATCTGACGTAGAGCTCTGTAAATCTTGATCTTAACCCAGGGGCAAGGTCACGCTTCCCTGCATCCGTTGCAGGGTTCATTGCTCCAAAGATCCGGAAATTTGGATGACCGATAACTCGTTCCATCTCTCCAGCCTCAGAGAGAAGCACTGAAGGATTACCGTCGCGCCCATGGTGCAATAAACTCGCAATACTCTCTAAGGTATCAGGCGATGCAAGATTGATCTCATCCAGAAGCACCCATTCCCCATTCCTGAGGGCTTTCACAATCTTTCCCTGGACAAAGGCGAACGAAAATTTGGCATCTCCTTGCAAAACCCTGGCTTCAAACTCTCTGAAATCGGAGGTGAATGAAGACCATTTTGCTAACAATGAGCTATATTTGGGGCTATCAAGCTTTCTCTTTTTCGCTGGTTGTTCTGCCGCCTCTTTGATATCGGCTTGGGTCTTTTTGGAGGTACCAAATAAGTCAGAAACCATTTTGACAGCCTCATTTAGGACATTGACAAGTCGTGGCCAATTCCCGGCAGTAACACTCTTTGCAACAGAAGATAGGAACTTCTGATTTTTCTTGACAGAGAATGTAGACTCAAACAAGGCATTGAACTCGTCCACGAGAGGTACAGCTATCGATCGAAGATTGACAGGCTTGTACCCACCCAGAAGGTCAGAAGCCTCGCTTTGTTGGGATAAATTAACAACTGTCAACTTCTGATTCAAAAGCGATGACAGTTGCTGGACAACTGCAGTTTTACCAATACCAGTCTCTCCAACAAGCAGGATAGGTTCCGAAACTTGAAGGGCGGCAGCAGCCTGTTCCATGAGTCGTAAAGAACTCTTCGTTGCCGCAAACGACTTAGCTTGATTAGTCCTTGCCCCTGCCATACTCCGTGATTGAATCTTTGAGCAAACCTCCCTTCCAATCAATAAATCTGAAAGTTCATCGGAATAATTCGGCACACGTTCTGACAAGCAAAATTTCCATTTTTGCGGGGAAATATGCATTTCTTCAGCAATACTGCTTGCAAGCGCCAAACGCAGTTCATTATTTGGGATATGAGCTGCAAAACAGTCAACAGCGTCCATGAATATTTCATCATCAATCCGAGCTGGCACTGATTCGTTCCCGCTCTTGATCCCTAGCTTTTGTAAACGAGTCTCAATTCTGTTGCAAAATTTCATTAAGTCACGAAGACCAATCGGCCTCCCTTGCACCTGTCTGGATGCCCCAGATCCAAGGAACGTGGATATAATTCGAGAGTATAGCGTTAAAAAAGTATCGGCGTATCGGGTAATGTTTAGTAAAGGGAATTCATTCTTGATTATTTGAGAGACCTCTTCCACGGGTAAAGGTGAGATCCGAATTGTATTCCACAGACGGCCGCCTAGCATCGTCATACCTGGGGCCACATCATCCCCTCTGTTGTTTAAAAATGATCTCATGGTTGCAATGATGCGGAATCCTTCAGCACAACGGATGTGTTCTCGGCGACTCGGAATTACAAGTTCCCTGTTCTCAATCAAGGGTAAAATGACTGAAATCACTTCAGCAGGTGCGCGATCCAAGTCTTCGATTAAAATCCACCTTCCTTCCCTCGCAGCTTGGGTTAATACTCCCGGCTGCCATTTGAAACTGCCACTTTGTCCCGAAGTGGAGTAGACGCCTAATAAGCTCTTTGAGTCCGTTTGCTCGTTTAAATGCAGGGTTATCATTGAGGACAAGTTGCCCATTTCACTTGCAGCTTCCATGACCAGAGACGTCTTCCCAGCTCCTGGTTGTCCAACAAGTAATAAAGGGTCTTGAGATAGAAGTGCTTCTCCCACCTTACGAAGATTAGCTCTAACAGCAGGTGTCTGAACAAGCTTAAAGGCCTGGGAACTAATCTTCTGCCTCAGGGTAGGAACAAGAATACCACCGATTTCCGCCGTATAATCTAATGACCTAAAATTCTTGATCCATAGATCAAAGAAGCTTCCATTGCGATTTTGACGAGCTGTTTCTAGCGCTGTTTCAAGGACTTTATATCTCTGTTCCTCCCAGAAGCTGATCAGCCTGAAATCAATAAGCTGACCTTCCAAGGTATTGTCAAGGGGACTATCACCGCAATAACGGTGGAGCATGTTCTCCAAAACAGCATCTGCAGCCTTTATGTGCAGACAAAAACAACGGACCGCCATACACCGTATGATATTATTTGAATGGGAGAACAGAGCTTGAAGCTGGTTAGGAAACACAGATGGTGAAAATGTGTCCGCGTCGAAACTTAACAGCCGAAAAGCTGAGAGGAGTAATGAGAGAAGAGATCCATCATTGACATTTGAAATATCTGAGGGACATTGCTCAGAGAATAACGGCAAGCCCACATTCTGAGCTTGAAGAGCCCTTTCAGCAAGCGGTCGTAGATATGGAGAATGGGGCAAAATCAGTGAGAATGCCGATATTACATGTTCAAAATGAACATTCAAGTCCAGTAAGAGCCACCGAGCAGCAATATCCACAAACACTGGCTCTAGTAATGGGAATAGTGTAGCCGTATAGCTCGGGTCTAGAGCTGCCAGCACCAGTTGATCCTGCTGGGTATTGGCTGGAGCTTTGAGAATCGATTGTGCTAGCTCCTCTGGTAGTTGATGTAAAAGACCGGGCTCTATCGAGAACTCCGGCACGGCTGGTAAAGTCTCCATCTTCGAGGGACTCTACGCAGCGCGGCGTTTTCTCCTGTAGATACAGGACGTTTGATGTCTTGATATCGAAATCAGAATCTCAAAAAAATTCCTTATCGAAGATACTTTTCTGCCGAAACTCTAATTCTGCCGCATTTCACCGCGTTCATAACTAATCAGTCACGTGAAAGACGGGTCTTATATTGCGCATTGACCAACTAAGCAGGTACGCCATAAAGCAAATTGCAGGCTGACAAGTTGACATTGCTAACGACTGCAGGAGAGAGAAACGACTCACCGGTGCACATATATATAGTTATATATATGACAGAAGGAGAGATGTTAGCTATCGTTCCGTGACTGTGTTCGCATAACCTGGAGGTAGCATAGGCTCCGTCACTCGAGACAGGATGGAGGTGCCGGGGGAGCTATCAATAGACATGGCCGATACGATTAACACCGATCAGCCAGACGACGGGTTATCGCAGTCGTTTAGTCAGGGCCAGGAGTCATCAGAGGAACCGTAAGTTAGCCAACCGCAGCTGCCTTTGATAGGTCGCTTCTAACAATCGATATAAAGGATCACGTTCAAGCGCAGGCAGAAACCCCCATCACGGTTCGGTCTTCACAGCATATTTGGCAGCGCAAACGATTCTCCCTTCTCATATCATAGCCGTCTCAGGAGCATCGACGAGAGTCCACGGGGCTCACGACCCGGTACAGCGAATCAGAATACCAGAGAACCGGGCAATGGGTCCGGCGCATCGCACAAACCGGGAGCACCGACGGATTGGTATATCGAAGGACCTGGAAGAAGGGTAGGGTACGACGACTTGACTGCCATTGATTGGATATTTGAGTATACAAAGGAAAGGCAACGGATACGGCATCTGAATGCGAATAACCCCGGCTTGCTTGGCACATTCAGGCAGCTGCTAGACGTCAGCCAGGTTTGGATGGTGCTAGTTATGACTGGTTTGGCTGTTGGCCTTCTAGCAGGATGCATTGATATTACAAGTCGATGGCTTGCTGATATAAAAGTGGGATACTGCAAGTCAGGCGTGGAAGGGGGTAAATTCTACCTCAACCGAAGCTTTTGCTGCTGGGGATATGATGGTATGGACTACCGAAGCTATTAAGTCATTATATACAAAGATACTTACATTTATTAGACCCGGCCAACTGCAAACATTGGATTTCGTGGCACGATGCTTTCAAAATCAGCTCCAAAGCAGGTGCTTTTGTTGCAGAATATATGGTTTTTATCATGTATTCGATCCTGTTCGCCACATGCGCAGCAGTCCTTGTCACATCCTATGCAACCCACGCTAAACATAGCGGTATCCCTGAAATTAAAACAATTTTAGGGGGTTTCGTGATCAAGAAATTTATGGGGTTATGGACTTTAATGATCAAATCTGTTGGCTTGGTAGGCGGCTCAACTCTATATCATTGATTCTAGGGCTCACTCTTTTCTAGTGCCTCTCTGTGGCTTCTGGTATGTGGTTGGGAAAGGAGGGCCCACTGGTTCATGTTGCATGCTGCTGTGCAAATGTAATCATGAAACCATTTGGCAGCCTCAATCATAACGAAGGTGATCACCGTACAAGTAGCTTTTGTCCTTGTCATCCGGTTCTAACGCTTCTACAGCACGGAAGAGAGAAGTTCTCTCTGCAGCAGCTGCTGCTGGGATATCAGTGGCATTTGGATCACCCATAGGAGGTGTACTGTTCAGTCTTGAGGTATGATACCTTATCCTCATCGATCAATAAGGCCCCATCGCTAACTCAAACAGCAACTGTCCTATTATTTTCCTGATAAAACCATGTGGCAGAGCTTTGTTTGTGCTATGGCTGCAGCAATCTCTCTACGCGCTGTCAACCCATTCCGTACGGGGAACATCGTCCTTTATCAAGTCACCGATTCTCAGAGATGGCATCCTATCGAGATTTTACTATTCATTCTCCTAGGCATATTTGGAGGCCTATACGGCGGACTTTTCATCAAACTCAACATGCAGATTTCTAAATGGAGAAAATCTCGAAATTTTTCCTTCCCCGTATTAGAAGTCCTCTTCGTGGCCCTTATAACAGGCCTAATCAACTTCCCAAACTCCTTCATGAAGGCACAGCTATCAGACCTTTTACAAGCTCTTTTCGCGGAATGTTCCAAGACCCCAGCGGATGAATTTGGCCTGTGTAAGGGTAATTCTGATTTTACTGGAGTGTTTTGGGCATTGGTGTTTGCCGGAACTCTCGGGTTCTTGCTTGCATCTATCACATTTGGATTGGATATTCCTGCTGGCGTGATCCTCCCGTCCCTTGCCATCGGTGCATTGTACGGTCGAGCTCTGGGCACCATGGTTAGTGTTTGGCAAAAATCGCATCCAAACTCCCTACTTTTTAGTGATTGTGAACCTGGCGCACCATGCGTTACGCCCGGTACGTATGCAATTGTTGGAGCAGCTGCCGCTCTAGGAGGGGCTACTAGGATGACTGTGTCAATCGTCGTTATCATGTTTGAGTTAACCGGGGCTCTGACGCATGTGATTCCAATTATGATTGCTGTTATGCTTTCCAAATGGTGCGGTGATATATTTGGAAAGCGAGGCATCTATGAATCCTGGATACACCTAAACGAATATCCTTTCCTTGACCAGAAAGACGACACTCCACCTCCAGATGTACCAGTCAGCCAAGTTATGACTAGCATCAATGACCTTACGGTAATCACCGCTGTAGGCCACACCGTTGAATCCCTGAGAAATCTACTTTCCAGCACCTCGTACCGAGGGTTCCCCGTTGTATCAGACATGGCCAATCCGACGCTGCTTGGATATATATCCCGCAATGAATTGTCATATGCACTTAATGTCTCTTCCCGCCATTCAGGAAGTCTCTCCCCAGAAACGCAGACCTTTTTCTCACATCAGCCATTTGCTGATCCTGCCGAAACCCTTGACCTTCGACCGTGGATGGACCAGACGCCCATCACTATGAATATTCATACTAATCTCCTGATCGTACTAAACATGTTTCAAAGACTTGGTCTGAGATATGTGCTTATAGTAAATAGAGGGAGACTAGAAGGGTTCTTGACAAAAAAGGATATCTGGTATATTCTTAACGAGTCATCTAAAGCAGACCCTACCTCGGGAATTGGCGGAGGTATGTTACGGGCAGATGGCTCGGGGGAGGCGCGCGGCTTGCTATCCCGCGCCGACAACCCGATGCTTGTCAGTCCCGTTGATGATGGTAATATGTTATGAAAAGAGCACGATCATGTTTGTATCAGTAATATATGTCATAGTAGTACAGTTGAATATCAATATCCTTCTAGAACTGAATTTTGAGTTGTACACATTTTCCAGACCTTTTTTTTTTTTTCTCATATGAGCCTATGCGTCCGCCTTTTAACCTTCTATAATGAACCCAGGAAAATGAAAGGTATCAGTTATTTAGTACAGCTTTTCATAAGTCGACGGGAAATAGCGTTGACAAATTGTGTTGAAGGGTAAACCAGCCCATGCACAAAAAGGGTATTTTGCAACCAAAATATAAGGAATTAAAGGGGAAAAAAAAATTAAAATCGTGTTCCGTTCACGCCCTGGACGCCCTTGCCAAGCTGACTGGCAACAACAGTAGCCTCTCTGACAGAGCGTGCAATGGCACCGCGGACTCGTCCCTCTTCAAGGACAAGAAGACCACCAATAGTGCAACCACCGGGGGTGCTAGTCTTCTCACGAATCAAAGCAGGGTGCTCGCCATTCAGAACCATTCCAGCAGTTCCACGCATGACCTGAGCAGCCATCAACTGCGACTCAGCCCTGGGAAGACCCATGGCAACTGCTCCGTCAGCCAAGGCTTCCAACACAAGAGCAACGAAAGCAGTGCCGGATCCGGCCAAAGCAGTACTTGCGTCCATGATGTGTGGTGAGAGGGTGATGACACGGCCCACACGAGTGAAGATCCAGGAAACGATGGTGCTCTGGAAGTGGGAGAGTGGTGGATTCGTGCTGGCAATAACGGTCATTGACTCTCTGACAATTGCAGCAGTGTTGGGCATGGCACGAACGACACGGCATCTGTCGGCAATGTCGATATCGGAATCCTTGTAGAGCACCTCTTCGATCTGCTCTGCAGGCACACCGGCTAGGATGCTGATCAACAGTTTGCCTTTGAGAGCCTCTCTCATGCCGGGGACATTGAGAACTTCACTCAGCATGTATGGCTTGCAGCCGAGCACGATGACATCACCGTCGGTCACACCCTTGACGTTCTCGTTTTGAAGGATGGTCAAGGGGAGGTTGTACGGGCTGAGGATGTGCTGGATCCTCTTGACCGACTCTGGTCTCCGTACGCAGGCAATAAACTTAGATGGGATCTGGTGCACCGGCAGGCCCTCAGAAGGGGTGGCGGATCCGGATGGCGGAGGATACGCCGACGAGCTCCTCGGTTCAGAGAGAGAAGCCATCACGCCGGAGAGAATGGAGGTACCGAGTGTTCCTGTGGTTGACGACGCCAAGTTAGCCGCATTCACTCGTTTGTTTTTCTTCGGAACATGCATCACTAGTTCCCCTTCCCCCCCGGCGGCGGCTGCGGGAAGAACCTACCACATCCAAGAAAGGTCACTGTCGTCCCCGAGTGACCAAGAGAAAGGGTGCCATCCATGAACGAAGACATGATCGCGTGGGATGAAAGGTGAAAACAGGCAAAAAAAAAAGGAGTCGGAGGTGCAAAATGTGGTAAAACTGGAGGAATGAAGGCGTCGAGCGGTTCGTGGTCTTGCTGGGAGCGACGATGATTTTATATGGCGAACTTTTCCTGTTTCGTGAAAATGAGCAAAAAGCAAAAATAGAACGGAAGAATATCGGCCCGCGACAAAGGGCCCATGCGCCCGGTTTTACCCGTTTCGGTGCTTATCTAATGCACTATTACGTCAGCGTGGCTTTTTTAGACTCTGCGAGGGAAGTTTCAACACGAAGAAAAAGCCGACTATCAAACCCAGAGGAAACCGTCATCACAAGAGCAACGCCGGGCCAGGGGAACAAGGGACGACACGACACGGAGCCATGATCTCATGAGGCAAAAAAGGAAGACAGATTGTGACACCGACGTTCGAGCATGGCTGACCCCTTCGAGGTCCGCATGCGCTTTACGACGCAATTGCAACATCTAAGCGCATCCTTCACCTCGTCGCAGAAGGCAGCCAACTATGTCTTGAAACACAGGGATATGGGGGAAGACCTCCACTCATGCATATTGGAGCAATTGGAAAGGGTGATTCAAGCTAGCATCATTGAAATGCCTCATTAAAGAGTAAAGTGAGCTGACAAATAGGTCGCAGAGCAATATGAATACCAGGGCCAACATCATGTACTTCATCGAGCACCTGGCCGACATGGCCACGAACGAGAACCACCCGGAGTTCGTCCACATGATTAAACGTGATATTCTTCAAATCGTTGATGCAGTTGCCCCTGCAGACGGCTCCGGGGCTGCCAATGTGAAACATGTAAGGCGTGTTTTGAACGGTCTTCAGTCGAAGGAAATCCTGTCCCACGAAACGGTATCTGAGATCGATGCCTGTCTTAAGGAACGAGAGAGCTATCCGGCTCATCTCCTTGACATGGAACCGCTCGAAGAACCCGCCACCACAGATACCGCAAAAACCGGATCGGATGCCACAAAGTCAAGGGTCACCGTTGACCGGAAACAGATCGAACAACGTGTGGAGGAAGACCGAGAGAGGAACAAGCGATTGAGAGAGAATATGTGGGCGGTACCGCCACACGACATGAAGGAGTTTGAGAAGATGTGGGATGAGGTGAGCGACGTGGGAGACGATGACTACCTCCAGGCCGCAGAGGAGGCAGAAGAGAGACGGAGGACTGCTGAGGCTTCGGGTCTCTACAACTAAACTAACGATATACGACTATGAATATTTACTTGGAAAGAAACATTATTGGCGTTTCGGGGCGGCCCTCTGATACATTTTGAACTTCTATCTGGTCTTTTCCATGTCTTTTCCATGCAACCAGCCAACCGTGCCTTCTCAAATTTTTACTCCGAGCAAGACGCACGCTCTTAAGTATATTGATGTTGTGTCATCCATTGCATTTATAAAAACTAAAATTGGACGGTGACCTATTGGCCAATGGCTGTCGGGGAAATAAAATTCCGGTCTTTTCTGCAAAAAAATGTTATTGGCGTAACTGGAAGAAAAGATACTGACTGATAGCTATATTGCAATTTTCACGACTCTTCGATCTTTTTTCATTCCATATGTTGTCTCAGATAGTAACTGCTGCTCGTGGTTTGTTCAAGAGGCCAGAGAGCACCGAAGATACGGCGTCTGAGCAGGAACAACCCGCCGATATGGTCACGATAATCGAAAATTCGACTTCCTCGCAAGAGATGCCCGCAACCCAGGAGTCCCCAGTGGCCAGTGGAAAACGCAAAGACACATCATCATCAGTACCAGAAAGCGTCGAAAACAGACCGCAGAAGAGACGGAAAGGCGAGCCAAGCTCAAAAGCCGCTGATCCCAATGGTACAATAAAGAGTGAGGGAGATGCAGCCAAACAGAGGAAGCTTCAGGTATTGGAGTCTGTTACAATAATCAATCAGCCAAACACCAATTTTGCATCAACGATACCGGCAGATGGGAAACATGTCTTGCCTAATCCAAGGAAAATCCGCTTTGGGAGCGAAGAACTTAACGGCACTCACCTAGACGTTGACGAGAAACACGACAATGCAGAATTGGAAAACGGAACAGCGGCTCAAGCAGAAGATGATGAGGACGATAGTAGCGATGATGATGCTCCTGAAGCAGTCAGCAATGCTGTCCAGTTATCGCAAATAAGAGAAGCTGAGCGCAAAAGGGAAGAAACAAGGCAAATGTAAGCTATGCTGTCCGGATTTTCTCAAAATACGCCTGGTACTAACTGCTTTAATGACAGGCACGAACAATTGAGAAGAGAAAAACGAAAGGAGCATGAAAAACGACTACAACAACAGGCTGCTTCGAAAGCAGCAATCCAGAAGGCAGCTGATGCCCGTCGAGAGGCCAAGGCCAAACGAGCCGAAGCGAAAACATCCAAACATGATGAGCAGCAGTCCGAAAGCTCAATGACGCTCAGTGCCGGAACACGGGAGTCGAAGCACGGTCCATCAGCACCATTACCCGCACTTCTTCCAGACGAAATTCTAAATGCAGAGCTGTCGCAGCCACTAATAACAGGGCTTGATGTCGAAAAGCTGAAGATGAACACACCAAGACATATAAGGATTACCGATACAGCTGATCGACAACCCAAGGATCTCAAGATTGGATCTACTGCCATCAGAGTATTGGGTGACTCTGGTAGCGGCTCCAATCCTATCCTACCACCGAAGAGTTCAAATAGTAGTAGGCGCGTTAAGGAAAATTGGGTTGGCGGGAGGCGAAAGATGGGAGCGACCGGGGCGTTGAGGCATAGTACTGGCGGTCCAAAGAGTTTTGCTAGGAAATGATACATGTGAGAGAGGCGTTTAGCACTAAAATAACGATACCATTCGTGACCTTATCTTCACACTATTAATCGCCGTCCAACAGGCCCCTTACATCAACTTAAAAAGCAGACTCTACAAATAATTTAGCTATGGACCTTGTCTTTCTACACCTCGATATCTACCACATATACATATAGCCCATACGGTCCCATGTATACCTGCAGTCGAGATTGCCTTCCAGATGCACGAAGGCTTGATAAAGAAGACCTCCAACTCTGCTGGCTGGAAAATCCACAAGCCTCTGTGGCTCTTTTAGGACTAGCAGGTATCCCGCAGCCCATCTTGCTGCGTTGGAGATGAGATTTGAAGACAGCCAGCTACTTCCAAGCCATAAGTGTGCTATGATAGGGCCTGTTTGAGTTAGCTGACAGCTTGACTTCTTACTATAAGGGACTCGGAAAGTTTTCACTTCTATGCCCTTTCCAACGTCCTCGCCGGTACATAGAAAGGCTTTTGTAACAGGCAGCACTGTGACTTCATCCCAGCTCACTAATCTCAAGTGGGATGACTATGCCAAATATTGAGTCCAAAAGGGGTATATGAACCTCGCTTCATATTCTGGTAGGTATCAACCTAGCAGCCTCTGATATAGTCCACCCAGGGATGGGAATAGATGCGTTATTTCCGGTGCCAACGATCCAGTTGAAGTGGCCCACGTTTTCCTGTTTTCCATGAGAGGATTGCTGTCACAAAGGTATCATCCAGGATGTCCCCAACTCATGGAGCGCTCTCCGCATGTTAACTATGGACGCAAGAGAGAGAGAATTTGCAACGCGCGTATTGTGATACGCACAGGTCGATGGTCCGCAATCTCCTCATTGCCTCCGGTGAGAATGAGGAAGGCGCCATGGATTCGCGCAAAGTCAAGTTGTTAATATGCAACGCCTTTATTCCCACTTTTAATACTTTTTGTATAATGTCATTACAACCCCTCGGCCACCGAGACCGTCCACAATTTCATGTGTTTTTCTCCGCAAGTATCATGAACGCGCCTACTTTGCACTGGAGCCTATCGAGGAGAATCCCAAGTCACACACCCTTCCACTGATTGCCGCATATAGCCAACCTTTGCCGACTTAAGGCTAGCACCCGCCCATGATTCCCTCCTAGTATAGACTGCGGGAACCAGATACGGTTATGGAATGTAGTGGCTGGCGAGAAAATTGCGTCAGCCACACTCGTTCACATCACTGTATATGATGGGATTCCGCTTCCAGACCCAGCACTTTTACAAATGCAGTGGATGCTTCAATGCGTTATTGCCTTAGCTGGCGGCGCTGAGGCACTCGAGGAATCCAATGATGGCGACGACGACGATTATTACGATTATCCCGAGCTCTACAAGGAATATCGTGTACCCTTTGAGCAACTACACCTGCCACCGACTAGTCCAAGCCTCCTTTATTTGAGGACAAATAGTCATTGGTGTATGATGCTGCTACCAAGGCGATGTACAACTTTAAGGTTGGCTACACGGAAGCCTAAAGTTAGTTTGGCGCGGGAGGCTCCACTCTCGATCGTTACCCCACCTGCTCCGTGCGGAAGAGGCTGGCTGAATGTATGCATGATATATGGTTGTCATATGCCACTTTCGATTCCGGTGTCTTCTCAATGAGCTGGCTAACTCTGAAGTTTGAGCCCTGTAGTAACGACATATCAGATTGTGCAGCCTCAGACGTCAGTCCGGTTTGCGATCCCTTTAGTTAGGTCATGCATGTAACGAGTTAGTTAACTACTTTAACGGAGGCTTTCACTCCGTTAAGGAATGGGTTTTCTCTCCTGGATTTGCGAAAAAGTGTAAAATGTAGAATATTGGTATAAATTGACTTCATATTCCGGACGGATTTTATGACTAGCAACGGCTTGGGATTCATACCTTCACTTCCCGCAGATCAACAACCAGCATTTTCTGGTACGCGTCCATCTTTTATAGGTTGGGAGCTGCTCAGGCCCTGTGTAAACAGCAAACATGCATAATGACACTTTAGGTATGCCCTTAACAAGGTGATCTCAACAAGTTAGCTGATTCAGGTAGCAGATGCGTTGAGGGCATATTTCGATAAGGTCTATACGGACAATAATATATTGCTGGGTCTTCTGGACTCCTGCGATGACAACGTGGACCATCCATCGCAATATACTGATAGTCTCGGCTTTAAATTCAATGCAGATGATTGGAAGGTGTTCACAACTTTAGTGGATGCTGGTCCTAATTTTGAACTGCGTGTTGCCGGAGGCGTATATCGTTTTGATAGTAACGCTACGGGCTTTTGGGAATTAATGGTTCATTCTGCTACCGGGAAGATATACGGTGAATCTCCCTTAACCGCTGGCAATAATGATGCTTGAAACTAAGATACTGACGTACCCTCCTTTATAGTGGATGGAAATCTGGTGACCAGTCAAAATGTGGATAACGAGGGATGGGTCACCTTCACAACTGGATCATCCGACAATTTTCGAGTTCAGTTCCAATGTGAATTCCCGACGCAAGACCCTCAAGTCACACCGGGCTTTTCAGGGGAAACCTGGAAGAGTGAAAGTGCTGGAGGAAAGACCCCCGTTACCGCTAAACGGTATTATCCCTGGGGAAATTGCCTGGAGAAGGAATGCACCAGCCAGATGATCTCAAATCCACGCACCGATGTATCAGAGGAAACTGCTGTTGCTGCATTCAATGCCCGTGAGAATGCTGCAGCCGAGTCACTGGCGATGGCCCTAGATCTGATTGGCATCAAGAAAAAACCCACAATTCTTTCCGCCGCAGCCATACCCGCCGACAGTGTTGATAAAGGCGATCTGTTTCTCGGCACCTTCCACCTCCTATTCACAGTGGCAGCAGCCGGAGTTGGAGTCTTATATTACCAGCTCATAGGTGGAGCAGTAGGGACAGCGGCAGGGGGTTTTTCTATTACCTTCATAACGGCTATGAGAAATTATGGCGTCGAGGGATGCTCCCGTGGCCTCAAAGCCGACGTAAAACTCACAAAAGTTGACTTTGACAAGATGTTAGACGAAAGGATCAGAGAGATTGTCAGTGAAATGAGCCCAGAGCAGACAAGGGATCCAGATCTATCCAAGATCGTGAAGGAAAAACTCGAAGCCAAGTATAGACTTTATCTACACGAGGTACTGGATGATGGTATCTACAAAAGGTACAAGTATTTCAGGAAGTTGTGGACTCGAGAGTTCAAGGAAGCCTATGCCACCGCGGTCAAGGAAAAGTGCGAGGAACAAGTGCCTTCGATCGAAGTTGAAAGTCTTCTTCAGCGGTACATTGACAAGAAGATGGCGGACCAAGTATTGCCGGAGGACATCTTAAAGCTGGGGGAGGAGATCAAATCTGAAGAACGCGACAGAGACAAGAAACTTAGCGAAATAACAGATCCGCCTGGTACCCCCGGGTGGAGAGAAAAGGCGAAAGCCATCCAGGATGAATTCCAAAAGAAATCAAAGGATATCCAAGATGATATTGATAAAAAAGCCAAGGATAAGACGGAGCGCGAAGAGCGTTCAACGGAATCGAAATTGAAGGAGGCTAGAGAAAAAGTGACGGAGGAGATGGACAGGCGACGAAAAGATTACGATACGGGCCGCATTCACAAGGAGCTTGAGGGACTTATCCCTTGAACGATAGTTACCTGTGATCCGCAGGCTTGGAAATGGTATAGTCCTCCGTGGCTAAGCTACATAGTTAGTCCAGTGGTTAGTTAGCATGATGTCCCAGTTATTACTGGTTCATATAGTTATATAGATCTGCCAGTGGATATTGGTCACATCCTCCACTCCCCATTTTCAAGAAAGTTATATCTGCCACTAGGAGTAAATGCACAGAGATAGACTACGTATTGGACAATCAATCAACAATCGCGGGCGTGATTCATGGCTTGGGCAGGCCACAGGTAGCGCGTAGTTAAGCTGTCAACCCAACATAGAATTAGGGAACATAACTAGATCGTATAGTCACTTTTCCTAGTCAAGAACTAGAAAACATGATATGTTTCCAAATATTCATGAAAAGTCCCGAAATCATTTGCTAACTGGCATAGAAACCCGAGCATAATTATGAAATTATATTGGCTTCATTGACCCAACGTTGTCCTGGTGTAGAGAATTTCCAAGATCTCCAGGTACACCTATCTAGAGCAACCTGAGTGCCTCAGCTGGGCATATTGCCGCAGAGAACCAGATCAGAGGGAAACATAAGATCGGAGACTTGGATAAACCTCTCCCCCGGAGCAAATATATTTTGGGTTGAGAAGAAGTTTAATTCAGGCAAGTCGACGGTGAACGTTGGCAAGTTAATTTCTGCCTTTATTGGACTGATGTCTATATCGGACTTGGTAGGAGGTTGATCCGCAGATTCAAACGCAAGGGTGAACTTCATCGTGTCACCCTCAACAGTTGCAAGGGTTTTGGTTTTCTATAAGGTATCAGCAACAAGATGCAGTCCCCTACAGGATATATAAGGCTTACCGTTGGGATTTCGCATGATAAAGTGATGTGTATGGTTTTATCGTTCTCGATAAAGGGAAACTTGCCCGAGAATGTCCATGACCATTTATATTTCGGCTTGTCAAACGGAGATTCATCGAAAAATTCAATGATAAGAGGATGATCGGTACAATCGATCTTGCTGGATTCAAGGGTACAAAACCACTGGCCAATCCAAGCACTTCCTCCAGAGTTCAAAAGACCCGTAGGACGCAATTCCAGCTTTGCGCCGGCTTCTGCGGTCTTTTCGATCACACCACCGGGGAGAACACTTTCGATCTGCTTCCATATAAATTTTCGAAAAAACACATCTCTTGAGACGATAATGGTACCTGTGTATTCCTTCGGGATTGGACTGAAGTCGAAGTGGTCGTACTTCCGGCCGAACCGGGTATCTTGGGTGTTCCCTTGCGGATTCCCGCTGCCTTCGGTCTGGATAAACACGCATAGGGTCTCTTCTGCGATTACAAATTTATACGACTTTGGGCGGAGGAGGACGGAAGTGGGATCCTTTTTGCTGGATATTTTATTGACAGCGTAGTCGACCCATGCTACGTGTGACTGGGAGCCGAACCAAGTAGCGATATCCCCTTTAGCCTTTAGAAGGTTTTCCAGTAGCGGATGAGGTTTAGATGTGTCGGCAGTGAAATCCCAGGTCGTGGCATCTTCGTTGTGGAAATGAAAGACTATATGGTGCTCGGCTTCCTGGCTAGGTTTGAATTCCACCACGTCCTTGCCTTGCTAAGGAGTCAATGTCAGTCTCCAGTAATATTAAACTTATAAACGGGGTGAACGAACATAGAACTTGTCTTCCTCAGCGCTGAAAGATGCAAGGGGGACGCCTATTTGTAAGAAATAGACATCCGCCGGGATTGGAGTAGTTACTGGCGGGTTAGGCTTAACGGTGCTGGTTACAGATCCAGAAAACCCCATTTTTAGAAATGCCCTTGGGTTCCCATCCAGGTACCCAAAGTTCAGTACTGGAGAGGCCAGGGCGAAGGTGTAATCCTCCGTAAGATCGACCCCTGGAATATATGGCTTGCTCGTGAACTTGACATTCTGGAGCAGTGGCTTCGAGCCCCAGGTTTTGTCCAGGAGGTGGTTCAGCTTTTCCCGTGTATATGACACAAGGATATCCCAGTCATCAGTAGTTATTTTACCACTGAGTTTGCCATAATACTCAGATTTATCATATTGTGTAGTCATCGCGTAGAGTGAAGTGTCAATCAGGGCGCTGGAGTCTAGTGGTATCAATCAATGGTATCAACTGAAGGGCGCTTGACGGCCTTTGAGCTATCTTGTTCATTATTGGGACAAGAGCTATTGATATATATATATATATATGTATATTGGAGCCCTTCACAAACTATGTGGCTCATACGAAACTCTCCGTAGGGACTCAGGGGGTGATAGCACCCGAAATTTTTGGCTTGCGCGAAGCATTTGCCATATATGGATAATGGTGGTTTGGCTCATTATATCTCTCATATCTAAGTTGCCAAATCGGAGGGAGAATGCCCTTTGCCTTGAGTTGAGGAGTGCGGGGAAATTTTGCTTGAGGGGTATATACGCAGGCTGGAATGAAATTGGGCTGCCTGAGCATGAATGCTTTGATAGGTGTAGAGCGCATCTACATACCGTTTACAATCTCGGACTGAGTATCTCCGCTTGCCTCTGACTGGGTGTTTTGGCTAAATACGTAACAATTATCTCGGGCTGGCTGAATTTTTTGGGCAGAGTTATTCTCGTGTTGCCTGAACTTAACGTAAAAACGCTCGCTGCAGTGCAGGGTTTATTGAATCATGCCAATGATATTTTGTCGTTTGGGGAAACGTAGTTATGATCCTTGGAGCAGCGTAGCAAAGGTGTATGGTGTATAAGAGAAGAGAAATCGTAGGTGACATGGGCGAAGCGAGTGGGGGGGGTAAAACAAATAAAGGACATATAGAGATAGGCGGACATTTTGAGAACAGTCTAACAGTCTTCAGTAGCATTCGTCTGCCTCTGGAAAAAATGGAACCATCAGCCTCCTCAATAGTCTCGCCCAATTCAGATCCGCTTCCGGACTCGGACACGGTCAGGTATCCAATAGTCAACCCCAAGTCTTTCTCTCGGTATCAGACGATGCACCTAGTATTGGGGGGACTATCAAAACACCATTCGCGTTTTATGTGGAGAAGTTTTCTCTAACGCACGACTTAAAATCGGAAAATGAAGAGAAGGAACCGTTTGATAGATACTGCATCTATACAGGAGAGCTCTACGGGCCAGAGCTAACCGGTAAGGGGTGTAGCATTATCATCTCCGGAAAAGGGGGCGTTGAGAGCAATCCCGATGCATACCAAGGAGGGACATTGCAAATTTTCGCAGAGCATGTCGAGGCTGCTGCGGTAGAAAAATTGCATCTTGACGGTTAGCAAGCTATCGATTTCTACATATATGGGTAGACGGAGGTAACTAACCAGACACACTACAGCTGGAGGAGGCCCAGGAGCCAACCGGCAGCCAGTAACTGGGACAGATGTTGGACCCCGTGGCGGAAATGGAGGGCAAGGGGGAAGGGTCGATGTGGTCTTTGGTTGTATTTTCGAGCAGGCCATTGAGCAAGGTGCCGAGCTTGTTAAAGGGCTGATGGATCCAAAGAAAAAGTGGCCTACGGATTTCGAAGACAAGATTAAACAGTTCGTCGGCTTCATCACCCTGAAAGAAATCATGGCAGCCATGACAATACCGCCGTCAATGAGCAAAGTAGAGACCATGATGGCCGCTCCAAAAGAGTCAATACAGCCGACTCTCATACAGTTTCTTATAGACCTGGCAGCACAGCGAGATAGCTTGACCAACGCCTTTGAGCAACACACCAGCGTTGAGGGCGGGCCATACGGTACTGGTGGCATGGGAGACAGGCAACGGGGACCAAATGGAGACACTGGTAAGCCAGGGAGCCACAGTGTTTACATATTATCTGACCCGGCAAAACTATTGGAGGGTGAAGTGTGCTTCGTGCACCCGACACAGTGCCGGATGTTGTTAGATATGGCCAACCTGCTCTGGTTCTGTGGATCTCTCGACGAAAAAGCCCGCGCAGCAAACATTTATACCCGCCTAATGCGGAGGCTGGCCTTCTTGGGAGATGTGAAGGATGAGAAGGTATCCAAGACACGCCTAGCCGAAGCATATCGCAAATCAGAGCCATCTTTGTTCATCCTCGGCGGGGCGCCTGGGGATGAACCCATTTCATTCACCCTTTTGCGTGCAGTTAAGGACGAAGCTCACGGAAACCTGCTGAGTCTCCTATCAGGGAAGACCATCTTCGGCGATGACAGGGAGAAGGTGCCACGTGGTTCGTTTGGATTCTATCAAACAGCCATTGCCCCGTTGCTCACGAATTTGAAAGAGGTTGAAAAGACATATCGCAGGTTTTTGGGGGGCGAAATGGATGCTGAAGAGAAGAAGCAGGCAGTTCGTGACAGGCTGGCTCGGTGTGACTTCCGAAAGCACCTGGTCCAAGATGAAATCAAAGAAAAGAAGAACGATCTCGATACGAACTTGCAACGGCTCCATCTATCAACTGAGTCCATTGGTCCAGCAAAGAAAAGCCTGATGAATGCCTATAAGGCCGTTGAAGAACAAGTCAAAACAGGGGTTACCGTCTCTTGGGAGGACCTCATGTCTGCCCTGTCACAAGTGATTTTTGTGCATGGATCCGCGCCTATGGTCGCATTGCAAGGCGCAGACCTCATCCACAACGCACTAGAGAAGCTTGAATCTGATTCTGGTGTAAAGATTGACAGAAGCTTGCTGCTGCATGATGCCAAGGATATGAAGGAGTCTGTTGAGGGTTTAGCCGAAGGGTATACGTTGCTCAAAGACGGCGGCGTGGATTTCGACGACCCAGCTGCAACAAAGCTCCAAGTACTTGCGGAGAAGGCGGACGCTTTCTGGAGCCAGTTCGAAAATATCCTGGGCAAGCCTGTGCTGGACAACCTGAGGAAGAGGTTCCACGACTATATCGGTAAGTTGTATGTTGGAGGTAAAAAGCGTTCATATCTTGTTTGGCTAACTATTATGGCAGCAATTGTAAAGGAGCGGAATGCCGCAGTCATTGGATATACAGAGGCAGTTCTCTTGCTGATCAAGTATCAGACAGAGCTCGACGCCCTTGCTGCTGAACGGGCTGACATCTCCCGGGAGGAGTATGACCAACTTGGAGCAGATCATCCGACTATGACAGCTTTCATGAAAAAGCTGTACACAGATGCAATCCACACCACGCAGGAATGGCTGTATAAAGCGCAGCGTTCGTATCAATTTGTCAGTCTAGACCGGGCAAATGTAGTGGGGGATCAAATGGAAGGGTTCAAATTCTCAACATTCAATTCGGCAACGTTGATCTCGATCAACTCAACACTCATCACCAGGTATAATGCATTCATTGAAAAAGCAGGTACCGAGCCCCAGACATTTAACGGTCTGAGATACGATATCGATGAGATGTATGTCGACATGATCCAAGATAGTGGAACGGACGGCATCACACATACAATTGAAATACCAGTCTTTGATATCCATAAGCCGAATCCATTCGGCTCTATGGTCGACATTCGATTAACCAAGGTTCGCTTCTATTTAGACGGGGCCAAGACTGATTCTCACTTCTTGGATTTGACGCTGAAGCACCAGGGAAAGGAGACAATACTCAATAAGCAAGATGAACGGTTCGACTTTGTCCACGACCCGCTTATCACTAAATTCAGGTATAATATCGACAACCCAATGGTCATGGGCCCAGGTACCACGGATGGGGATGTGGGATCGGTAGGAGAGGACCGCTATGCAAAGGTAGGACCCTTTACTCAGTGGACATTCCAGGTCACTACCGACAACAACCCGGGGTTAAACCTTGGCAAAGTGAGTAAGGCTTACTTCATGTTCTGGTTTACCTATTATGAGACGATGTAGAGACAACGAGGCCAGCCAGGTTTCTCTCAGGCCCGCGTGAGAAGAAGTGTTGCTAGTTCGCTGCATCTTGTGTACCCCTATTTCGGTTGTCCTGAATTTGAGTTAATCCACTGGTAGCTGTGTCGAAAATATAACTTTCTTTTGGTTACCACCGGCCTAGGCTCGCTCTGCTGGCTGTGACTATCCCTGGCATCGGATCCAGCCAGCCACAACCCTCCTTCTAGCCTCTCTCTTTGCTTTTCACCATCATCGTTGTCGTTGTTGTTGTCGACCCCCTCTAGAAAAACGTCGAAGTGCTTCGTATTTGTATTATGTAATCCAGCGAGCGAAGATCTAGCCACGTGCAAAGTCTTGGCATAATTATATTACGTAATATAAAGTTTCACGTGACCAAGCTTGGGCCAACCTTGTTTTGGTTATTACATCAACGACAAAGAAGGAGAAGCAGAAGAACCAGAGAGAAGATCAATCAAACAAACTACATTCTTTGCGCTGCTCGGAGGATAAGAAGCAGTGACCATGCGACATCCAGGCCTCATACACTCTCCCTGAACAGCCTGAAGCCTTTCCACGATGAATCCCAACGCCTCAGAGTCGTCTCCGCTCCTTCCACAAGCAAAACCGACCTCCCAAACTACCCCCCAAGCTGCGACCGCCCAGCGAACGAAGTCCGTGACATTCAGCCCATCAACTAGGGGGGAGCCGGCAAGTGACGCGCAAGATGGTGGCAGTCAGCAAAAGAATTTACATCCCAGTGCCCCCCCAGTCGTAAGGGGGCCAACTGGACAGCCCGTGCTGGCGGCGTTGAACAGCAAACTCCGACGTCGGCAGGCTCAAGAGCCATCTCTAGGAATTGCTGGCAAGGTTCCTGCAGTGCCGAAGATTGGCCCACAGAGAACAACAAAAACTACACAGAAGCTCAAGCTACTACCGAACCCTGTGACGGGTGAAGACGATGTATGGATCGAAGACGAGATTCCCAGAGATGTGTATTCCCAGATCACACGGATAAAAGAACCCACAGCCAGGAGAGATGCGGCAAGATTGGGTAAAGGGGATAGAGAACGACTTCCTCGGGTTACGGCGTACTGCACGGCGAATTCATACAAGTTGGAAAACGTGATTAGGTTTCTGAAATCGAGAGCTGCCACAAGAGGCACAAACCCGAAGCTTTTCGATGAGTGCGTTTATTCACCATACCGGTATGATGACGACGATAAGACAATATCTTCCCGACGCCGACGCAGTGAAGGCACTGGTCACACTGGGTTGACACCCATTAACGATTCTCGCCCACAGCTAGACCGTGGGTTCTCCGATAGCGAGCTAGAGGTTGAATCGCATAAGCACCAAGAGCGAGAGGATCTGCTTGATATGCGTGCAAGTAATGACGACCCTATTCAGCCCTTTTCGCCCCCATCGTCGCCCCGTACGCTGATCACGACCGCTCTATCCGACGAGCCCCTCGTCCTAGACACGGCAATCGATACTCCAGAGGTGTTCCTGTTCGACTATGGAACGGTGGTAATATGGGGTATGACCGTGGAGCAAGAAACTCGGTTTCTGAACGAAGTCTCGAGGTTCGCAAACTCAGTGTTGAGTTCAGAGGACATGCAAGTTGAGAACTTCAACTTCTACTACACCCGAGACTACCAGGCTCGAATATACAACGACTTCATCTCCCTACGAGATCCTCGCAGCTACATGACGAAACTTGCCATCTCCCATGCCCTCTCGCAGTCCGTCAAGACATCTCTCTTCGAAGACCTTGTCAGTGAAACTATCACGGCTACATCACCGTTGCCATCCCAGATCGCTCAGACGGGTGGTGTGAACCTTACGCGCAGGCAGATAAACATGCAGATTGGCGAGCTTTTTATACTTCGCATAAACATCCATCTTCAAGGGTCTGTGCTTGACAGCCCCGAACTCATGTGGGCTGAACCTCGCCTTGATCCGATTTACCAGGCTGTGCGAAGTTATCTGGAAATGAACCAGCGTGTGGGGCTGCTCACAGAGCGGTTGGATGTAATTGCTGATCTACTTGCTGTTCTTAAGGATCAGTCAAGTCATAGACATGGGGAGTACCTTGAATGGATCGGTATGTTTTTTCATTGTTACTGTTAATCAGGTAGGGATGCTAACCTGACAAAATTAGTTATCGTTCTAATTGGTGCCGAAATCCTCATCGCAGCGATCAATATCGTTGTCGACCTCTACGCAGGCTTAGATTAACTGCCTAATCTTTGGCCTTTGTCTACAAGCGCTATCTGCTTACGGCTCGCTCTGAGGTAGGCTCTGAAAAAGCCGAATTATCTACTTTGTGATTAATATAGAGATACCAGTTGTTTCCGTCGCAAGATTCCCCGATGAGTTGGCGTTTTGATTTGCTTTGCTTTGCCCTGCCTTCTCCCTCCTTTCCTCCTTGAGCAAGAATGTGTCACTATCTCTTCTTTATCTCTTTAATGCTCTCCTGTTGATGTCTTTTCTCTGTCCTGTCTATCTCCTTGCAGTGCCTTGGCCCCTTGTTTACGTCATACATAACGCCTTAGGGTTGTAAATAAGCGATTTAGAGGTATGTGCATATACGGGTGCCACCAGTCTCGACCTCTACCTACTTACTCTCTATCCCATCGCTTCTTATTATACACTCTTTAGTCCCTCGTTTCCTCTTGTAAATCCTGATATCAAGGTCCTGACATCTACTCTCTCCCGTTTCCCCCATAGAAGCAAAAAGCAACGGGTTCAGCTTAGTCATCGTATCCGGAAGAATGATAATCCTCTCCGTCGTAACTTGCTGACTACCTAAAGCATCCAATTGTCTCGCCTTTTTTAAAACTTGATATATCAAAAAGTGTCTAACAGGCAGATATAAATCAGCAGAATCAATGGAAAACAAGATGTACAGCACGTCCAAGAGCAAGGGAGCGGCTCTCCTGGTCCGCAAACAGCGATCCAGAACTCACTGGCACCGTCCGCTGTAACGCTGCCCTCGCCGGCAGTCCCAATGGCAATCCTCACTCTTGTCTCATCAAGTAGCGGCATTGCATCGAGCAATGCCCCCCTGTTGAGGGACCCATGGACTGCTCGTCTTTTTACCCTTTCCCGCTGGAGGGATCTTGTTCCAAAAAAAGCAGCTCGAGGAGAGACAAATCTAAAGGGATTCGACTGGCGTTTGTCTCGGATTAAGCTCAGCGCAGCCAATGGGAGTCTGGAGCTAGCCGGCAAAACTCAGCGTTCCCTCGTATTCACTGGATCTGGGGTCCCTTCATCTTTGACGACTCGATCGTTGAGGGAGGAGGGATGAAGAAGAGGATTTGCCGTCAAAGTCCACCGTCTTTTGCCTGGCTCCAGTGACGTGGCGCTGAGCTCGCGAGCACTTCGCATTATCTAACAGATTGTCTTACTTCTTAAGCTTTTGGCGCTTGCAATGCAACCTGAAAATAGAATGACAAGAAACGTTCGCTCTAGCTGTTGATGCTCGCTTGCTGGTGAAGTGAGATGGAAGTGAGTTCGGCGGCGTATATATAAAGGGACAAGGGACTCGCCTCTGGACGCTTGGTATCCTCCTTCACCGCCGCAGACAACTTCCAATTCTCTCGCTACCAACAGGACGAATATCAAACCAGACGCTCGTTTATCAATACTTGATACCACCAAAAAACCTTTACGATGCATTTCTCTAGCTGTGTGCTCGTCTCGGCTTTGGCCATGGTTGCTAATGTTGCTACCGCCTCTCCTCCACCGCTCCATCAGCTGAGCCGTCCTGCCCTCAAGGATTCCACCATCTTCCGCTCTACTGTCTACTGCGCTGATTGCCCCGAGGGAAACTGCTACAAGTGCACTCTTGGCCATAACAACACCCTTATTGCCAATACCGGCGGCATGGCCTACCTTCGCGCCCTTGTCGGCTTCCAGCTCCCCGTTCCAGCCAAGAAGGTCAAGAAGTGCACCGTTCAGTTCCCTGCCTTCGTCAAGTTAATGGAGGCCCCTATCAACATCACTGTCTCCGAAGCTAAGTCCAACGACTGGAATGAGGACACCGTCACTGGCGAGAACGCTCCTGAGACCGGTGAACCTTTCAGCACCTCCCATGTCCCGGCTTTGACCAACCCACCTGCTCTCGATGCCACCGAGGCCTGCAAGAATGCTGCTCAGAACGGCGACTTCTCCATCTACGTTGGCGCTCAGTTCGGTCGTTTCGAGATCTGGTCCAAGGATTCTGGCAACCCAGCCATTCTTCACACTTACTACAAGTGATTTCTTTTAAACTTCTCTTCGTGGTTACCTTCATTATCACCACCACCACCACCACCACCACCACCATTGTACTTTCCTTTCCTTTCTTTATGACTGTACATAACGACATGACTTGAGCGTTGGGGACTACCACGGACAAATACGGAGTTAAGAGAGTCACTAGCAAGCTTGCATTAATCGATAATATCTACAGCCTGAATTCAAGATACGTTTATCGTGCAAGTCATGCACCTCATATGGCCCCTTCCCTCCCGTATCTTCCTCCGAATGTTTGGAATAAAGGGGTAAATAAGTTTTTTTTTTCGCGCGTGGCAATGGCGGCTACCAAATAAATATTGGGCTCAAACGCTTTCACCCCCGAGTCAATGATGTCAAAACAAAAGCCGTGAAAATTGCCACTGGCGTTTCTGTCTATAAAAACACTTTCAGTACTGCTGAGCCCCAATATGTTGCTATTTTAACAGCTAACACGTGTTTATCAGCGTAAGAACTAACGATAGTCTCTGCTAATATCAACGTGGCTAAACTGCAAGATGGTCGGCATCAGACGGGAGAACTCCCGGCCTGGAGATCCAAACTTTATCAAAAGTAAGACTTTCTACGCATGTAGGCATGATATCTGCTAACTATCAGCGTAGATACAAAAGAACTCCCCAGCATCGAAGCATGGTTTGCGCAAAAGGAGAAGTTCCGCGCTGTCGGCCATGGATTTCCGATGGGGATGCCCCAGATGCAGGATTGCAGCCCTGAGCTGGAGCGGCTGTTTCAGGAGACACTAAAGCCGAAGATCACTAGCATACTGGGTAAATTCAGTATTAACTACTCATCTATTCGTCTGGATGACTGGCGCTCAAAGGGGACCGGCGAAGTGCAGCACACGATCCTAGTATCTTCGAATGATACCAACACAACCAAGTGGAAAACAGCAGCAGAGGAAATACTTAGGGTATTTCGCCATGAGCTGCCTCTCGACTTCACCGGAGACGCCCAAGTGGAAGTGCAGAACAAGCAGCTCATGAACACCGACGTCTCTCGTGCTGTGCCTAATGAACCTGCCCTTATTAAGTGTCTTGAAGGTACCAAGGAGGGAATCACAGAGACAGTCATGGAGAGCTTGAATGGCTGCTGGTCGTCGATAGGATATCATACGCGAGTTCCCCTTGGGTCTTCTCCCGATATACGAGGACGTGTTACTGTAATGGTATATTGCCGCTTTGGAAGCCGTGGTGATTTCAAAACGGCAGAGGACCGCATCCTGAAAGTCCTAGACAAATCCCCCATGGATATACACGTGGAAATCGCCCCGGGAGAAGTGTTCCTTGCTCGAAATGGCGAGGGACCCAGGTTTCTTGCCGATATACCTGCCTCCCCTATCAACGGTGCGTCTATCAGTGTTCGTGGTAACAACACAGAGCCCGGCTCACTCGGTGGATGGGTATGGCTCCACATACCCCGTAGAGATATGCGTGTACGCTGCGTCTTGACCTGCTACCACGTCGTCAGATCTCCAAATGAAACCATTGCGGCTCACACAGACGTTCACGGTGTTGTCCCTGACGATCGCCGGGGTCACATTGTGGCTGAATACCCTGCAGCATGCGACGGACAACACACATTAGATATCCTCACCAGCCTCCCGAAGAATAAAGCTAACTCACTTGAAGTGCGCTCTCAATATAGAGACCTTTACAATCGAATGGTCAACCCAGCCATAGGGAAAGTCACCCTTGCGTCTGGAAATCGGATAAGCGACAACTCCAGAATGGACTGGGCTCTGATTACTTCCCCTTCCACGTTCAGACCGAACAAGCTTCCACCCAGCCCCAGCAAACAGGACACTTTCAGTCTTTCTCTCTGTGGGGCGTTCGCAATGAACCCCGACAGCTGGGTGATGAGCTTTGGGGACGTAGAGCTTGGAGACTGGGTATCTAAATACGGACGTACGTCGGGCACCACCTACGGCAAAATCAACCACCTGCGCCGCGAGGTGAGGTGGCCCTCTGGTGAGCGGACATATGAGATGGAAGTTATTTCGCCTAACGGTGAATTTTCACGGCCGGGGGATTCGGGTTCGATGGTGGTTAATTCTAGGGGTGAATTTGTTGGCCTGGTTCTGGCCACGGATAGCTCAACGCCGTTTGGAGTCACTTATATCACTCCCATCAGCCATATACTCAGGGACATCAATAGAATGACTGGCGGCGGTTTTCTGACCTTGAGACCCGATGACTATGGTTGGTTTACTAGTGTATAAACCTTTTTTTGGCGTTTACCGTATAGTTGTATGGCTCATGTTAAGGCCGTTTTGAAGGTGTTTAGATGGACCATTTTTGTGATTCCATAGGCGAAGACAACTGATACAGAAAGAGCATTTGCATATCTGCACAGAAGGCGTTGGAGGCAAAACAATCATGTATATTATACAGCCTCAGTGATACATCAAATAATACTGTTTGTCAAATACGCTTGCAGCAATCGCTTTGTAGAAACATAGGTAATGGGTGATGATTAGCAACTGCAGTGCTAAGTTCCTATTAATAGTAGGTAGGAAAAGGAAAAGAAAAACATAGAAAAGGTATCCCAAGAATGTAGTATGTACAGATCCAGTTCATCACGCCGTATATTGTCCAGAAGTATCAGAAAAGGGGAATAAAAAAAAAAAAGACAAGGTTAGCTGGTGCTGCCGGGTTAAACGGCATCGTGCACACTGTTTGAAGGGTTGAGCTCTTGATAGCTGTGTTGCTTTGAAGAGGTAGATACTGAGACCTTGTGGCTATGGGTTGAGTTAGGCCAGGAGTACTGCTTTGAAGAGGCATCGGAGCTGCCGCCCTTTTCGAGTCTTCGGCTGTTGGAAGTAGAGAATAGTCCCTTGATCGAGGATGCGATGGACTTGGGCAAGTGGCGGTCAAGGAATGCTGGGAGGAGCAATAGACATCCACAGAAGATTCCAACGTTGGCTTCGATGACACTGTATTAAATGTTAGACGGTGGGTGAACATTTATGAGTGTGAGAGGGAGGGTATGACTTACGCCCAGACAGCCAGTCGAGAAATGTTCCATGTAGCATCGGGACTGCTTTTCAGAACCGGGGTTTCCGCAAGTCGGACCAAACTAGCAGCTACAGCACTGTAGGGTATTTGTTAGGTCGATTATAAACGTTGAATAGCCACTGGAGAGTATACGTACAAAATACCGAGACCAAATACACCAAGAAGTTTGATCTTGCGGCGCAGTTTCATATGTAAGTTCCAGACTGGGTATATTGGCAGGATAAGCACGTATAAGTCGGTTGCCGAACTGAGAGCACCGGATAGATATGGAAGAATGGTGGGATTGATGCACCGGCCGGGGATGGCAATGTTCCATGCGCGTGCAATGGGGGAACACGAGAAGATGGTTGCAAAGAGGATTGCAACGTGGGTAACGGTCACGAAGGTGATGCCGAAGGTGATCAAAATGTTTGATAGCGTCTGTGGTGAGAAGACACGTCGGTAGAAGAAAAGGAATGTGAGCTTAATCGTTGCGGTCAGGATCAAGTAGACGTATTGCGCAAAGGTGAACCACTGTTTGATGTTAGAAGGATCTCTCCCGTCATGCCGATAGGGGTATAGCTATTATCGTACTTTCAAAGCATGTGGCACCCAGAGTGGTGGAGTATCCCATAAATGCCGCCCAATGCCCAGAGTATATGCTTGAAATATATCAGCAAAAATGATCTTTTTTTTTTAACCAAGACGTTAACGAGATGGCTTCTGGGCTTACATTTTATCATCAACCCGGAAAATGCGACTGTCAGCACCTGTATTTATGTTTTAGTATTGGAATCACGGAGGGTATTCGGATATGGCTGCCTACAAATGAAGCCAAACAGAAATCTATAGAGCATGTTAGTTTATGTCTTGACACATCTAGATATGGGCTCACGTACAGTCATCTGCTCCCATCTTTGTACAGGTGACGATTGTACGGGTGTAAACCCGCATGGCGACCGCCGCAGTAGCCAGGGTGAGGCATACTGTATGAAGGGCGATATTGCCGGAGAGCTGGCTCGGAGGGTCGATGATATTGGGCGTGACGCCTGGAGGAGGAGGGATAGCTCCAAGCCACTGGGTCGCCATGGTATCGTTGATTACCTCGAAGCTCAGTCTGATACCCTTCTAGGCGTCGAGGTTGGTTGGAAGGACAGAGCTGAGTCTGTAGATGAGCAGACAGAGAGCCGCTAGATGAGAGGAGGGAAACAGAGACCAGACTCGGCGAGGAAAGATATATACGTGCGCTTGAGGCTTCACCCTCCTGCAGGTCATGTCATACCCGGGGGGGAGGGGAAGATACTGGAGGACCATCCCAGCCAGCATCTCATCTCCCCTGGTCCGCTGGCTGGTCCCATGCATCGATTTTGTCCTCCCCCCAAAGCTCATCATTGCCTCCCCGTGCAAGACTGGCCGGACGAAGCCAGAGCAACGTCTCTTAGGGTTCCTCTGGTTCGTCGGACCGAGCAAAGGCGCCCTTTGGCTGCAGCACAGCATCCCAAGAAGCTCGTCCGACTGTCAACCAGTCCGGGGTCCCTGGCTTGAAGAATCCTTCCAGCAAGCCTCCAGCCGTCTGCCACCCTCGATTCCCTCAATCAGGTCGTTCGCTGTCCTCACGGAAGATGCAAGCACCATCAAGTGGAGTTCGACAGCTGGGACGCAGCTCGTATCCTAGCAGCCGTGATTTGCTGGAGTCATTATTTCCTTTTGCCAGCCTTGGGCCACCAGCCCAGAGGTTGTTGATATTGATGCACATCAGGGACTCTGCAGATCGAGAGCCAGAGCGAGGGCCAGCGTGTGCCCTCCTTTGAGAGCAACCAAGCAGCTCCGTGAGTTACACCAAGGACGAGGCCGGTCGAAGCTGATATCACATCCTCATCGTGGCCGGTAGTTAGCTGTGGACACGCCAGCCTTGATCTCAGAGGGCTGCAACCATCCTGCCCACCAGCCGATCGTGGGGTCTCCAACCGTATTATCGAGTCAAAGAGAGATCTCTCGATGGCCTCCAGCTCCTCCGAAGGCGTTGGGTATCTAAATGTTGGTCAGCCAGCGCACCGTCGCAGGAGCCAGCGGTGGTGATACCAACGTCGTTCCACGAACCGGGATAGTTAAACAATCGAAATCCGCTTCTTAAGTAGTCAACCATAGCCCGTAGCCATTGGCCATCCCATGCGCCGGCCAGGATCGAAGCCGACGCAGGCATCCATTATTACGGCCTCGTCCTCGTCTGCAAAGAATCCAAAAAAAAGGCCCGTCCGGAGTCGTGGGATTCGGGAGCAAACGCTGCCAGCCTGGCCGGGGACTGACTCGGTAGTAAAAGAGCCAGACGAGGCCGCGAGCGCTCAACAAAAGGCCAGCAGCAGCAGCTTTATCCGTCTCTGCTCGCGAGTTAACTAGTTAGTTAGCTGGTTTCTCCCGCGCGCTGCTCTTTGTGCGCGATTTGCTTTGCTGCTCGAGATGGCCGTCTTCGAGATGCAGAGCCTCGTGGCGGCGGCAGCGGCTTTGCTGCTAGCGGTATCTACATCCGCCCATACATATCTGCTCAATGCGAATAAAACAGCTAGCTAACGTGAGGGTGATAGTATCCCGTC